GTAAACATTCCTGTCCCTGTGAGCTGCTCCAAAGAAACAGGAATCAATGTTCTTGTATTGTATCCTGCCTGCTCTTGGCATTGCTCAATAAATTCTGATTTCCATATTAGATAATCTCCTGGCTCCAAACATGTTTTTGCTAATGAATACCAATCATATGGGGCCATGGCTGTATTAGCTATTGAATCTAATAAAGTTTGTACATAGGGACTGTTTGGCCCATATTGTACTGAGGCTTGTTTTAATTCTCTTAAAACTTTGAATTCAAAATTCCTATGTTCCCTAATCATCTGTCCAGGATTATCTGGATTCTCTTCTTCATATAGTGGAAACATCATGCTTTTTGGGATAGCTAATTTTAAGTCCATAGGCACTTCTTCCCCTCTGCTTTCTGCCCTTTGTATTGTCTCTTCTAACAAGCCCTTACATATTAACTTTCTCCCAGGCTGTTGTTTAACTGAAGGTAAATACACATCTTTCTGTTGCTTAGGGGAATGCACATTTCTCTGTTGTATAACAGAATACACATCTTCCCTCTCCTCTTCAACTATGCTCAATTGTTCCTCAAAGGCTTTATGCATTTCTTCTTCCTCATCTGTTCCTACCCCCTTATCTGCCCGTATCACTTTCTCAGCCACTAGTACTTTATCCGGGGCGTAAGACATATTTTTAGCACATTCCACATTAAAAAGGTAGCAATCGAGAATGCACCAGGGCCCTCTTCTCTGTAATATTCTCTTAGTTGCTTGCCTACAATCTCCCATTTCTCTAAATCAATTGTCCCTTCTGTGGAAACCATGGGCAGCATTTTTCTATAACTTCTACAAATTCCTGTAACTGACTGTTTGGAATAACTAAACCTTTTTCTTTCACTATTTTCTTTAGTAATCTTAGGTAATACTCTCTATCTCTTTTTCCACTTTGTACTTGACCCATACTTTTGATCTTAAGGGCGCCTCTTAAGATCGAAAGTATATATGTGGGCCTTTCCAAAGCGACACTATATCTTATGCTCTAAATACCGAGCCTGTTTCTAAACTTTTTTCTAATCAATTTTTTTTTTAATTATAATCTCCCATGTAAGCCTGGTGATTCCCCCCCAATCCTATTATTTCTATGGGGAAACCTGTAATGACCCTCGTTCCTTTTTACCTTAGTACCGCGTTGAGCCACTTCAGGACCTTGTTTCCTGGCTAGTGACCAGCAAGGATTTCTTCCTCCGGAGCGTTTCAAGGAACCGCTCCTATCTCTGACTTTTAGTCACTGTTCGAAGCGCCAATGTGTTGCCCGCAACCAGATTGTACACCGAACGGAGAGGCGTGAAATAAACTTATGACATGGGCCAGGCGGAGTAGAATTACTGACTCCGTTTATTCATCTGAGGGCACAGAATATATAAGGAAGATCTAGCCTAACTTCAAAGAGTCCTCCCCGCCAGATACTCCCCAGAACATCTGCTGAGGATGTGACAATCATGAATTTCCTCCTTATCAGGGTTCCTAGATTGGGCTGTAGATTCCAAGGTTTTCCCAGGCGCCTTGGCGCCACCTGCAGAGAGGAGTAAATATGTAAATCTAAGGTTCAAAGAGAGAGAAGGGATGTCTCAGAGACCTCTTTATCAAGAAGGAATTGGGGAGCCTTACCACTTAATCCATGAGCCCTTTGGGGTGAAAGCCTGAGCAGAGGTCAAACTCTGCCTTGGATCTTAAACCCTTATCAGACTCTTAAGATCGGCCCTCAACACCTCTGTAATGCCAGATTTTCTTCATCTTCTTCAACCAAAACGACATGTCACAACAGATTGACGCAGATATGAGACTCCAGCTGTCTTCTCTTAAGCCAGATTTAAAGAGATTTGCAAAAAGATGTAAAATGATGCCACTCTTCTCACTAATTTTCTTTATTTTTTAAAATATAGTTAATTTTCATAGAAATGAATTATTAACAAGCTATAAGTTTTTGATGAATTAATATATTTCATAATTTATTAATTTTAATTTTTAGTACAGTAAATATAGGCGGCACAGTGGATAGAGCATTGGGCTTGGAGTTAAGTTAAATCTGGCTTCAGACACTTACTAGCTGTGTTACCCTGGCCAAGTCACTTCACCCTGTTGACCTCAGTTTCCTCATCTGTAAAATTAGCTGGAGAATGAATGACAAACCACTCCAGTATCTTTGCCAAGACAACCCCAAATGGGGTCATGAAGAGTGGAACTTGACTGAAATAACCTAACAACAACAAATATAGATGACAATAACTCATATAAACCAAAGCACTTTGGGTCCTCAATGATTTTTAGGACTATAAAGGGATCCTGAGACCACAATGTTTGAGAGCCACTGCCTAGATGATTTCCAAGTTCCCTTCTAACTCGATATCTTATCATCCTATGGTATGAGAATTCTCAGTTAACAAAGGTTGTAGAGAAAACAGTGTATTAGGAAGATGGCGGCCTGGGCTCTAGATTTGGCTGTGCTGCCAACAAGTTCTACAATCACGAGCAAATTTCCTGTACAATCCATGCCACCTCCTTGAGCTATGGTGGCAATCAGGGGAGATGATTCGGCAAATATAGAGTATTCTGCTGTTGTTAACATTATCTACCATTTTGTTGTTGTTGAATCATTTCAGTCACATATGACTCTTTATAACACCACTTGGGTCTTTCTTAGCAAAGATACTAGAGTGGTTTGCCATTTCTTTCTCTGGCTCATTTTACAGATGAGGAAACTGAGGCCAACAGGGTGAAGTGACTTGTCCAAGGTCACACAGCTAATACGTGTTTGAGGCTGGATTTGACTCAGGAAGAGAAGTCTTTCTGACTCCAGGCCCAGTGCTCAATGCACTATGGCTCTCCCTAGGGTCCACTGTCTACCATTAAAAATGATTTAACCCAGTATTCTACTCTTGAGAAATCTTGATTCAATCTAAGCTTTTATTAAGTGTCTACTATGTACCAGGCACTATTTTGAGCTCAAAAACAAAACAAAAAAAAGTACTATATCCCCCCAACACATACAAAAACCAGTCCTTACTCTAAAAAAGTTTATATTCATTGGTGCAGATATGGATATAAAATTTAAAGTAAGACATAAAAACTACATTGGTTTAAATGGTAAGCATAGTAACAGATCAGAAATCAGGGACAAGAACAGGGCTCCCTGGAGGAAGAGGCACCTGATTTGGATCTTGAAGAGAGCTAAGAATTCTAAGACACAGAGCTGAAGAGAGTTAGGAGTACATTCTAGAGATGGGAGACAGACTAAGGCATGGGGGCCACAGAGTACAGGGCCAAGTTCAGGGAACTGCATTTGCCTGGAATATAGCACATGTGAAGAGGAATAATGTGAATTAAGTCTGGAAAAATGGGCCAAAGACAGATTTTGAAGGGTTTTAAAGGTCAAACCAAAAAGTTTTTGTTTTACTCTAATGGCAATAGGGAGCCATCAATCATTCTTGAACAAGGGAGTGACATGACAAGATCTATGCTTTAAGATTATTTTGGCAGCCATGTGAAGGGAAAGAGTTTGGAAGCAAGGAATCCAATTAATCATTTGTTTACAGATAGGTAGTAGTACTGTGTGAAAGAACACCTGGCTTGGAATCATGAAGACCTGAGTTCAAATTCTTCCTTAGATACTTACTAGCTGTGTGACCCTGGGCAAGTCATTTAAACTCTGTCAGCCTCAGTTTCCTCATCTGTAAAATGGAGAGAATCATAATACCTACTTCCCAGGGTTCAAATGAGATAATGTGTAAAGTGCTTTGCAAACATTAAAGTGCCATATAAATGTTAGCTATTGTTGTAATTGAAGTTTATTAACTATTTGACCAAGGAAGGAATTCAGTTAGGAGCCAGTTGGAGATTAATTTAAAATAAAGAGAGAGTAGGATTTGATTTGTACACAGCTATTTTGCTGAGCTCAGTTTGTGCATTAAGGAAGCCTTCTGAGGCAGAGACTTGTCTTATCTGAACTTGATATCTCCCTTAGTGCCCAGCCCATGGCTCTACACACAGGAGGCACTTAATAAATGTTTGTTGTATTGTATTGTGTTGTGTTGTATTGTATTGTATTGTATTGTATTGTATTGTATTATATTGACCCTACTCTTCTGGGCACAGCAACAGTCCCCTCTCTTCCCTTGAGCATCTCTGGGACCAGGAAAAGGTCTCCTAAGTTCAGCCTTCGCAGGAAAGGCTGCCAGGATTTGAAGTCCTCCCTGAGGCTATGGATGGCAAGACAGAGACCCAACCTGGGAAAGTGACTTAGCCAAGAGCCACTCCCCCAGGATTCCATGGTCTGCCAGGGCTGGCCAGGGACTGAACCTGGTGCTCTTAACTTTCCCATCTAACCCTTCTCCTCACTACAAATCAATGTAAGGTCCCACAAAGTCATGATGAATCCAACATGAGGAAGATGAAGAAGAGAAGGAACTGGGAAATCCTTAGTCCAGGTGTGGCTTGGTCAGACTTTTAGTACTGACATGGTGTTCAAGTTGTGCTTAGGAGCTGACAGAATAGGAGGCTGATTAGGGGGTGTATTTTGAAGGATACTGCACCCCACTCCCTCCCCAATATCCCACCCATCTACTAACCCCACTGATTAAGGTTCTGACTTTAGATTCCCTTGGGTTAAGAACTTCTGGTCTTCAAGAGCGTCCTCTTAACAGACAAGTACCCCTGAGAGAGAGAGCTTCTTGTTAGTTGAGATTTTTTTCACTTCATCAGCTAAGTGCAGGACCCCATGAGTGTGGGAAACAGGACAGGTAAGTTTTGTAGATATGGGATAGCTCCATGTAGTGATGGAAAGACCACTGGATTGGGGCTCTGGATACCTCAATTCTAGCCTAGTTGTACCCTTGACTAGCTGAGTGACCTCCGAGCCTCCATTTTCTCACTGGTAAATAATGGGGTAGGGGTGGGGATGTTAGACTAGATCAGGAGTTCTCTGGGGTCTATGAACTTCAAAAAAATTGATGCCTATACTTCAATATAATTGGTTTCCTTTGTGATATGTTTTATTTATGCATTTAATAGCGTTATTCTGAGAAAGTTCCACCAGACTAGCTGAGGGGTCCATGACACACAAAAAGAAGTTGAGAACCTTTAAACTGTAGGTAACCACTAAGGTTCCTCCAAGATCTAAGATTTTTTGAGGGGGATCTCTGGTCAAGGTTGGAGGGTTTTGGTGGGGGAGAACAATGAGGGGATAGGAGGAGAAAATCAGGCACAGTCTCAAAAGGAGAGGTTAATAGAATCCCAAAGACCAATCTCATCATCTTCACAATTTTGGAGTTGGTTGCTGTGCCATTGCCAGACTCCTCTGCCCATTTGGAGGAGAATCAGACTGACTTGAGTGAGCTGCAGTGAAGAAGTCTAGGGCCGGGTTGGTATTTGCTGCCGAGCCCTGGGTCTCCCCTCAATCACCAGGCCCACAAGCTGGTGTCAGTTCCTCCAGACATCAGTGTTGAAAGAGGCATGGACCTGCCTACTCCCGGGATGCAGAATTGCTGTGGTTTGTCTTGGCAGTACTGGAGGAAGACTCCTCTCTTAGACTTGGGTAGAAAAGGATGGCAAACCAGGAGAACATGAAAACACCTGTAAATGAGAAGAGGTCGCCTTGAGCCTTGGAGGTGGAAGCCAATGCAGGGCTGGAGGTGGGGGTGTGCGTTGTGGCGGGGAGGTGGTGTACAGCTTGGCCTACTCTTGGGCACAGAGACCAGCAATGACTGCAGGCCAAATACCGGGTCTTTTTCCTCTCTCTAACCATCATGGAGCTGGAAGACAGGATATCTGGGCCCCTGCCTCCTTCCTTGACCTACAAGCTAATCTTACATGATTCTTTGGAAAAAACATGAGGACATGAGTCAAGAGAACTCCACTCCAGTTCCTCCTTTGCTACTATTTATTTTGTGACCTTAAGGAAGTAATTTAATATCTGTATAACTTATCTATTAAATAGGGAGAGTGAAAACCATCTATAAAATGGGTATAATAATAGCATCTACCTCAAAAAGCTGTCAGGAGGATCTCAAATTAGATGCTTTGCAAACCTCAAAGGACCATGTAAATGTTAGCTATTGTTATGACTAGCTGTGTGACCTTGGGAAAGTCACTTAGCTTTTCTCTCAGCTTCAATTTCTTCTCCCAGAAAGTGGGGTTAATAATAGTACCTACCTCTCAAAACTATTATAAGGATTTTGAATGAGACAATATGCATAAAGTATTTGACAAACTTTAGAGCACTATATAAATGTAAAGCACCATGCAAGTGTTAGCTATTACAATTTTAATTATTACTAGGTTGTCACTTTAGGCAAGTCACTTAACCTTTCTCAGCCTCAGTTTCCTCATCTGTAAAATGGGGGCAATAAAAATGCCTGCCTCCCAGGGTTGTAGTGAAGATAATGGGATAATGTACCCATGTAGAGTGCTTTGCTTTGCAACACTTGAAATGCTAGTTATATGCTAGGTATTGTTATTACTAGCTATCTTTTACCCTCGGCACAGAACCACTTTCAGCCTCAGTTTTCTTATCTGTAAAATGGGGGGGCGGGTGATAATAACACTTATCTCACAGAGATTTTATGAGGATCTAATTAGATACTATAAAAAGTACTTTGTAAACCCTAAAGTATCATATAAATATTATTGGTATTACTACTACAACAACTACTACTACTACTGCTACCACAACTACTACTACTACTACTACTACTACTACTACTACTACTACTACTACTACTACTACCACCACTACTGCCACCACCACCGCTGCTGCTGCTGCTACTGCTACTGCTACTGTTACTATTACTGCTATTACTATCTGGGGCTCCTGTTTTCTCTATCCCCAGGCACATTTTGGTCTTTCTTTGGCTTGCTTCCTAAGGGAGGTGGGGAGAGATGAGAGTATGTGACATGTTAGAAAAGGGCCAGGGTCTTAGAGTCTTCTTACCTTGGAGAGAGTTTAGTAGTGTGAAGGCATAGATGGCAGTCAAGCCAAATGGGGTGAGGAGGACCAACCCCCATGTTCCCCCCACCAAGCAGGAGAGGCTGAACACAGTGATGATTCCCTTCCAGGTCGGGCTCTGTTCCTTGCCTGCCTTGGAGCCACGGAGGTGGAAAATCTTCCAAGCTACCAGGCCCAGGACCACGCCACCAAAGAGGAAGGTGACAATGAAGTAGCCATGGACTGTGATGTGCAGAGCTGTTCTGTTCTCTATCCAGCATCTGGCCAATAGCCAAGATGGTCAGCACAAGGAATGAGCCTCTTTCCCTTTCCCTGCCCTTATGGTTTCCCTTCCCAACAGCCTGGACCTGTCCCAGAATCCCTGAATCTCAAAGCTGATGGGATCCCCAGGGTCCATCTCAAACCAACCCCTGGGCAGGGATTGCCTGTAAAATATTCCTCCCAAAGTCTTCATCTAGTTTCTAGTGATACAGAGCTCATTTACTCCCTTGAAGCTGAAGCAGCTTCCTGAAACCAACTTTGACTAACTTCTGTTGTCCTGCAGCAACCCTGGGAACTGGCCCTGCCTACTTTAGTCTCATTACAACATGGGCAGGAGAGAGGATGCTCTCCATTTTTACAGATGAGGAAACTAAGGTCTCAGCTTTCTCATCTGTAAAATGAGAGGGTAGGGCTCCATGAGATTATCTCTGAGGCCCCATATAATTCAAATTCCTATGATAAATAGCCCCAGGACTTGGTAATTCCTGTCCTCAGGAAGGGAAAGTAACCCCTTCCTTTAGAAATATCCCCCCTCCTGCCTTTCCTGTTTTCCCCAAACTTAGAGGCAGAGGAAAACTGAGGTAACTCACAGCTCCAAGGTGGTATGGTTAGCCCCATCCTTAATGGTGTAACGCCCATAGCTGCTGGTGCATCCAGTGATAAAGACCACTAAAATGGGAAGTCCTGGACCCCAGAGGGACAGGAGGAAGAAGAAAAGGAATCATGGAATTTTCCCTGCATTCCTCCCATTTGGTTCCCTGGCCCAGAGGCCAAGTTCTGTCCCTGCATTCACACTGAGGACAGTCACCTACCCCAGCCCACCAGACAGAGCTTCAGGAAGTAGTGGCTTATGTATATGTTGAAGATCTTGATAGCCAGCAGGTACAGATGGAAGGCCTCAATCCCCATCCAGGTGAAACAACAGAGCAGGAAGTAGTGGAAGATCCCTCCCTGTGCCCGGCAGGAGGCTCCTTGCTCTGGAGAGTTGTGTCCCAGACTGATGATGAAGGTGAGATTCAGAAGGGCCAAGCTGATACTAAGGGCCACATGGATCTTGGGGGCATCTTCTGACTTGAACCTCTGCCTTGTGAACCTAAAAGGGGGGTGTAGGGACAGGAGCCAGAGAAACGGAGCATGAGGAGGAATGGGGGTAAAGGGGTAGGGGGAGAAAAAAGGGAGACCAATCAGAAGGAAGCTTTTGAATTCCTCCCAAGTGGGAAGTACTTTATTTAAGGCAGAGAAGAGAAATAATAGCAGTCCTCATCAGAGTACATTGTAGAGTCAAAGCACTTCCCCCAGTACCCTGGGAAGTAGGCAGAATAGCTCTCATATCCTCATGTTAAAGATAAGGAAACTCAGAACCAGAGACATAAAGTGTCCAAGGTTACACAGTGAGTTAATAGCAGAGATGGGATTAAAACCGAGGTCTTCTGATCCTTCTCATACCATCTCCCAAAAATGACTTTCTCTTTCCTAATGCTGGTGCCCTTCCTCCAAAGCCACCTTGTATTTACCTTCCTTATGCATACACACATGTAAAGATATGTGTACATATTTACACATATATGTATAGATGTATGTATGCATGTGTATGTGGATATCTAGGCATTAGGTACCTGCCTCCTCCATTAGTATGTAAGATTACTGCACTTGGGGCTTGTTTCATGCTTTGTGCTTCTAGCCCAAGAGTCTGGCATGTAAAAGCTGCTTAACAATGCTTGTTTCCTTCCTTTCTATGCCTTGTTCCTTCTCACTGTAGACTAATAAAGCTGGCAAAGCTGGTAAAGCTGGAAAAAGGTCCTTAAAAGTTATCTGGTCCAACCTCTCATTTTACAGATAAGGAAACTGAGGTCCAAAAAGGAAACGTAGACTGCTCAAGGCCACACAGTAAAATAAAAAAAGATAGAGGGATCTTCCAGGCAGTTGGAAAGGGGGCTTTGTTAGACTGTGAGATGATGCCTGCTCTTAGCTGTCAGCTTATCACTTTCTGAGCATGCAGCTGTGTCTCCTAAGGTCTTTAGATCAGCACAGAGCCATCTAAAAAGTAGGATTGAATGGAGTTTCCTGGGGCGCAGTAGCATCATAGTCTAGGCTGAGGAGCCAGATAGGGCTATGGCCCAAGGCAAAATTGCTTAGCCCATAAAATTGGAAAAGAATTAAGTTTTATAGTTGGAAGGCATCTTAGAGGCTACCTGGTCCATCTCCTCTCATTTTACAGATAAAGAAACTGAGGCCTAGAGAGGTGAAAGGACTTTTCCAAAGTTACACAAGTAGAAAGGGATTTTTACCTAGGCCTTGGGATTCTAAACACATCATGCTTTCTGCTCTGCTGTGCTGCCCATTACAGTTTGATGTTACTAGAAACAGCAAATCTTCTAGGGGAAGTTATAAAAGTTAGACCTGGCATCCATTGAATGTATTTGTTTCTTATTTTTTATTTATTCCCTCCTTGGTTATGCCTCTTACCTTTCACTCCTCACCCCAAATACCTCAAATTAAGAGGTGTGAAAAGGGAGGCCCCATATAATTCAAATTCCTATGATAAATAGCCCCAGGACTTGGTAATTCCTGTCCTCAGGAAGGGAAAGTAACCCCTTCCTTTATCCTTCCTGAATATTTCCACAGCCTGACAGATGTGAGGTACTCCACATACTCCTATTGTCTATTTGCCATTTCCGTGTTGGCCTGGGAAAGGAAGGAGAGATTCCTAGCTTGGTGGGGGAAGTACTGAATAGGATGTCAGCAGACCCTGATTCAAATCCCAGCTTTGCCAGTAACTCGCAATTTGGCCTTAGGCAAATCTTAGCCCATCACTACACCTTAATTTCTTCTTCTATAAAATGGGAGGGGGGATAAATTAGATAATCTCTACAGGTAGTCAGAGCTCTAATAATTTATGAGGTAAGAAGGAAGGTTAAAAAAGGAAGAATTTAGAGGGAAAGAGAAGTCATGGCCATAGGTAGACTCATGGACAAAAAAGGAACCTCAGAGGTGTCAGCACCAGGGACAGATCCTGAGACTTCTGCAGCCACCACTCCCATTCAGCTTTTCTATTCTTCAGTCATTTTTACAAGGGGACATTTGTTGCCTAGACCAGAGCTTAAATCCCAACAGACAAGTCCCCTTGAGTTTGCAGGCACTAGCTACAGCAACATCTCTGTCATCTGAAAAGGCTTTTTGTTTTCCTAATTATGCCTTTAACATTCCTGTCATTCTCTCTGCACCTCTCCTGTGTCCTTGTGTGACCTTAGGCAAGTCACCATACCTCTTCAAATCCCAGTTTCCTCGTCTATAAAATAAAGAGGTTGAACTAGGTAATTTCTAGGGTTCCTTCTCACTCTGGAGCCTATGATCGATCATGAGTAGTTCTTATGTTTAACTGAAGTCTCTCCTTCCACATTAATCAATCAATCAATAGTTATCAAGCCTGCTTTGTGCCAGGCACTGTGCTAAGTACTAGGGATAGGAAGACAAAAAATGAAATAATACTTGCCCTCAAGGAGCTTATATTCTCTCAGAACAGAAAACATGTACATATTAAAATCTATACAAAATAGATACATGTTGATTTTTCTAGGGAGGGAGGGAGGCACTAGCAGCTAGTAGGGAACAGGGAATTTTGAAGGAAGCAAAAGATTTAAAGACCTGGAAAGTGATTTTCTGTCCCTGCAAAGCTTAATGCCTGGTAGGTAGTAGGGGATGGGCTGGGGGTTAGAAGGTTAAAAGAGGCTTAGGCCCTGGGAGAGAAGCTCTGTCCTGAGGATCACCCAAAGGTAGAGAGTTGGACCATCCCCCTGGACCAAGAGGCTCACTCAGAAACTGGGGTGAGAGAGAGAGAGGTCATACTTGAGTGGGTATGGAAGTGGGGATAGGAAGCTGACCTACCTCAGAGCAAAATAGAGGATTACGGTGAAAAACAGGAAGCACAGAGAGGTGCCACAGCCAGCAAGAGAGATTCGAATCAGAGACTTCACTGTGGTGGCATCAAGGACTGGCTTCTGTGGGAACCGCCCCCCCCAAAAAAACCCCAAACCTTCATCAGACAAGGATAGCATGCAACTTCAAAGTCCTCCCCAAACTAGAGAGACTCAATTCACACTGAGTGCATTGACCAGGAACACTAAGGAGTTTGAGCCACTAGGGGACGGCGGTACCCCGCTCTCCGCCCCAGGGGCCCAGGTATGTCACCAGCAATAGGGCAAAGAAGGTCAGGTGATCACAGCGGCAGATGGTCTGGTTGGTTCCCTGCTCTGTGAAGCAACCCATGGGTTTCCAGTCTCCAGTTGTGCCTGCAAAAGTACCTATTAGGTGCCCAGGAGATGCCACAAACCAACTCTCTCTCTACTCTCCACCCTGCCCAGGCCCTGGGCATCTGCCCCTGGGTATCCAGAGAAGATGGTGTGATGTGGCAGAGATTCACCTACCTTTATTATCATCCCAGAAAACGCATTGGAGGTTCTGAAACCACAGAAAAAAGGACTTAGGAGTGTGGGTTAAATATATTTGTACATTTTTTGTGTTGTGTATGTTTGAATATATCCATATATATGTGCAGCTATGTATCATCTGCTTCACATGCATCTATGGGAATGTGTGTGAGTTCTGGATACACACATACTCTATATTCATCTTTCATGCACATATATCTGTGTGTTTGTTCAGGCAAGTCCATATTTGCATATATGTGCATGTTTGTATCTGTGTGAGTATGCATTTATGATTGTCATGTGTGGGTATGTGTGTAAGTACACATATATACATTATGAATTTGTGTTTGTGTGTGCAAAGATATAAGTGCACATGTATGGGTATGTGAATGGCGTGCAGGTATGATATACCAGTGGGTAGTGCTGCAGAAGGTTCTAGATCCTTTCTGTTTCCTCCTGCCTTTTGGAGGCTGGAGATCTAATCAGCTACACTTTTATAACAGTTAGCTAACTTTCAGCCTAAGGGCAGTATAAGGGCCCCCAGATCCAGGTGGTCCCTTTCTCTGTTGAAATTTACATCAAACAAAAATTACTAATGCAATCACAAGATCTCAGAGCCCCTCATTTAGGAAAATTCCTAACATTCAGACATAGGTTTGGCTCTCTGCCCTAATTTAAATTCTGTGTATTTCCAGCTAACCCTTGGCTTCTTCATATTTGAGGCAAAATCAGGATACAAGAAATACTTATGTGAAAGAAATAACAATAACATCATCTGTAATAGTAATAATAACTAGCATTTATATAGCACCACCTACGTATCTTTCCCCACCTACCCCACCATTTTCAGCTTCTTTTTTTGTCTTTAGATTGTAATATCCTTGAGGCTAGGGATTGTCTTTTTTTTTTTTTTTTGGTATTTGTGTCCCCAGGGCTTAGCATTGTGCTTGGCATGTAGTAGGTGCTTAATAAATGCTTATTGACTATCCACGACTATCTCATTTAATCCTCAAAACAACCCAGTGAGGTAGGTTCTATTATTATTCAGATTTTGTAGATGAGGAAACTGAGGCAGAAAGAGATGAGGTCACTTTCCCAGGGTCACACAGTTATTCAAGCCAGGTATACTAGAGGGCTTGATACTGGGCACATTACTGGTATAATAGTATATACCTTTTGGAACTTCCCTAAGTCTTTTGAAGAAGGGATCGCGGCTAGCAGTTTCAGTGTGAATTTTCTGTTTCTAAGATACTTGCAGGGTGCACCCGCTGTCCTCAGTTTTCCCCTTCTTTTCTGTAGTTTTGGTCTCCTTTCTGTTTCTCCTTTGACCTGTGTAGGCTTGTTAAGTCCCATGCATGGCTGGGGATGCAGTCCCTCTCATCGCTGTTGCTGTTATAGAATGTGTATAATCCACTCTAATTCTTCTAAACTAGATGGAATTAGGAAGACCCGAGTTCAAATCTAGCCTCAGACACTGACTCACTGGGTAATCCTGGCCAAGCCACTTAACTTCTGTCTGCCTCAGTTTCCTCAGGCATAAAATGGTGATCACAAAAACAGCTACTTCCCAAATCCAATGAGATCATATCTGCAAAGTGCTTATCATAGTGCCTGGCACATAGTAAGCATTTATAAATGCTTATTCCCTTCCCCTCCTCCTTTCCTACAGACTTTGTGTGTCCCTTTAAAAATTCCCATGTATAACTCAAGTCTCCCTTCTAACTCAAAGATTGCAGCAGTCCAAATCTTTTCAAGATTGGATGGGAAAGTTTGTCCTTCTAAAAAAGTCCCACGGGACCACTCAACTCTCAAATCTCTATTACACATACGCATATATGCATGTATATGTACCCAGATTGATCTGCTTTTTGCACATGGGTGCATCTGTATGGGTAGTTATGTGTTAGCATTTATGTGTGTGAATGTGTGTGGATGTGTGTTTGTTACATTTCCACATGTGCATGTGTTTGTATCCACGCATATAAACTGTGCAATGGTATGTATCTATGTATGTGTCTATGAGTATGTTTGTAGTTAAGTGTGTGCATTTGTAAATTATTAGCACCCATGTGAATATATGCATGGTATGCATGCGTGACTATATATCTGTAAGTATATGTGTTCATTTCATTCCCCTACTCATCAGGGCTGAAGGTTTACCTGGCGCTGCTGCTTGTGGGAGAAGGTGATCTCCACAGGTTCGACCAGATCCTTGATGGGCTCAGTTCCAACCTGAATGCCTACCATGCGATTGTCTAGCACAGAGCTGCTGAACGGCTGGCCAGTGGCTGAACCCTGAAGGGAAGAGAGAGGCCATCTTAGGCTTAAGGGGGGAGTATCCCCTAATAACCCTCTCCCCCTCCTACCTCTCAAATAGGTCCCTGGGACATTGGCACGGGCAGTAGAGTTGTGAGCTGGCTTTCTACGATCTGGGTGATCAAGGCAAGATTAAATAGATAATAAATGATGATGATGATGATATTAATAATAATCATATCCAGAAAAAAGATCTGAAATAAGTATGCATAGAATAATTTTACACTTATATGCCTATTTGTATCTAATAATAGCCATCTCTAGGATGTGGGGCGTGAGGGAAGAAAAAAATTACATCATAATTTTACTGTATATTTGAAAGCAAACTGTGTATAGTACATTTGCAGTTTCATGTGCAATCATCTTTTTAATTTCGTACTTTGCTATGGAAATGCATGTTTTATTTCATAAATTAAAAATAAAATTAAAAAAAATAGCTTCCACGGAATGTATGAAATCTTTTACATGATTTGCATATTTATAAGGTTCTTAAATGTTATATATATGATTTTAAAATCACTTTCCCCCAACAGCCCTAAGATTGTTTCTATAAATATTTTATTCCTCACATATGGCTGAGAAAACCAAATAGGAAGGGTTTTTAACTATCCATACTTCTTATAGATAACTGGGAGTTACCTACATTTGAAAGGCTTTCACAGAAATGTCCCAAATTCGAACCCCAGGGCTTGAGCAGAATAAGAGGTTTGAAGGTAGCCAGAATTGTCACATAGTACTCAAAATACAAATAGTAGCAACATACATAAAAGAAGAAAAACAGCTTAAAATCACAGTTGAAAAATTAAAAAAAAAAGACCAAGAGAAGAAAAGGGCTGATATATGAAAATTTTTATTATATTATAATAAAACATTAAATTTATACGTATTTATATTCCACCATATTCAAATATGGTGGAATCATGAAGTAAGTAAAGTGGGAAGAAAGGGATACCTTACATTATTCAAAGCCCAGTGTTCTACTAATGAATATATAGCTATATGTAGAAATCAAGAGATATTATATACCATATTTGTGGATCTCAGTACAAAAAAGTTAACGGGAAGGAAATGGTACAATGACTACAAGGCACAGTTCTTCCCACATGGAGATTAAAAATGGCTTATTAAATGGTGCTTGAGTGAGAGAATTATACAAACAATAGCAGATTACACCATATTGGAAGTAGCCAAGCAGTACTCAGAGAAAAGCATTGAATGCCTAGATCAGTAAGAGAGAAAGGAAATCAGTGAATCAGCCTCAACTTAAAAATCATGCACTACATAATATAAATGCAAAGAACAATCATAAAACAATCTAAAGCGAATGTTGAAAAATGGTGAAAAACAAACATGTCCCCAAGGAAAAGGTATGAGAAGACATCCCATCCCACCCCTCCCCTTTGTAGAGTTAGGAGGTCTACAGGTATGTTACATTGCATACATTTTCAGACTTTTTTCATATATTGATGGACTTTGTTAATTTTTTCCACTTCTTAATTTTTTTTTTTTTGTTATATGGGATGGCTATCTAAGAAAGGAAGGGGTACTGGGAGAATTTCTGGTGATATAAAAAACAAGAGATGTCAATTAAAAGTTATTTAAAAAAATAAAAATCTTGTTCCAGACACAAAGCAGTACACAAGAAGAAAAAAGGGGGAAAAAGAGACAACAAAATCAGGGCATAGAACAACTTAAAATAATAAAGTAATTAAAATAACAAATCCAAGAACTGGGTTTGTTTGCTTTTTTTTTTAAGACAAAGATGATTTTAAAAAGAAGAGAAGAAACCTAAATCATCAGTATTAGAAATGAGAAAGGAGAGATCATGAGGGCAAAAGAAATGAAGAAAATTATCAAAGATTATCCCACATATCTCTATGCTAGTCAACTGGAAAATCACAAAGAAATTGACGACTGCCTACAAAAATATAAAATTCCAAAATTAAAAGAAGGGACCACCTAAATGGGATACTCTCAGAAGGAGAAATTAGGCTGGCTATCAAAAAACTTCCCCACAGAGATACCCGGTTCAATTGAATTCAAAAGCAGCATGTGCCAGTAAATGTTTAACAACTGACTCAGGAAAAAAAAAAGTTTAATGTACATCACTTTCTGAAGTCTAGTGAATCAGCAATGCAATGAATCAAGTCCTGGTTCACAACACTTGCTGATTTCCAAGGTGTAAATGCTAGCACTGATAATTTAATAATTGTTCTCCCAAGCCAGTACCAGCGGGTTTCATCACACCCTTGGAAACATGGTTTATCAAATTTCCAAATTTGATAGTTACAAACTTGTTCCAAAGAACAAGTAACTCTGATATGATACAGACTAACTTAAAACATAACAAAAGACAGTAGGATATCTAATTTCTTTTAAGAGACAAATATGTTTTAATATCAAAGCCAACAAAGAGAAGGCTGAGCATGAAAAAAAACCCATTAATATTAACAGACCAGTATCATTAATGAACATTGACAAAAATACAGCAACAATGCTATTCACTGTGACCAAGTAGGATAGGAAAAAAACAGAGATAACAAATCAGATTAACAAGAGAAAAAAATAAAGATGGTGTGATCCTTAAAGGAGTCTACCTTCTATTGGAGGTGGGTAAAACTACAGATAAATGATAGGACAGTTAGGTGGTACAGTGGATAGAAGGAATCAGGAAGACCTGAGTTCAAATCTAGCTTCAGATACTTCCTAGCTCTGTGATCCTAGGCAAGTCATTTAACCCTGTTTGCCTCAGTTTCCTCACCTGTCAAATGAGCTGGAGAAGGAAATGGCAAACCATTCCAGTACCTTTGCCAAGAAAACACCAAATGGGGTCACAAAGAGTGGGAGATGAGTGAAAAAAGACTTAACAACAGATAAGTGACTAGAGGATATGTATAAAATAAATACGGAGGGATGGGGGCTCCTGACAGAGTGGATGAGTCAGAAAAGGCCCTTCAAGAAGACATTTGAAGTGAGCTTTGATAAGAACTAGAGGGCAGAACTAAGAAGCAGAAGGAGGGAGAGAATTACAGGCATGGGAGACAACCTGTACAAATTCATGAAGGTAGGAAATTAAACCGCATATATGGGAATAGGAAGTAGGCTAGTTTTGATGTAATGCAAACAACTATATGCAAACAAACTATATACAGGATAACTAGGAAATAATTAAGAGGTAGTAGAAATTCAGAAGGGTTAGGAAAGACTTCCTTTAGAAGGTTAAGATTTTCGTTGGGACTTAAAGCAAGCAGTGGTAGCGCTGGAAACCAGTCTACGATGGGTTAAGAAGGGAGTAGGTGGTGAGGAAGTAGATACAGTGAGTTTAACACAGCATCTTGTCTCCCCCATTAGATTGTAAGCTCCTTGAGGCCAAGGACTGTCTTTTGCTTTTTTTTTTGCATCCCCAGTGCTTAGCACAGTGCCTGCTGCACGTAGCAGGTGCTTAACAAATGTTTACTGATTTTCTTAGGAGTTTGGCTATGACAGGTAGGGGATATATGGAATTTATATTTAAGACATTAAAAATTTAGAAATAGACTTTAAAAAAACAGGTAAAGCACAATGATCACCTTTACTACTTCTAGAATTCTTAGAAGTATCAGTAAGACCTGAAAAAGGAATGAGAGGAATAAGAGGTTCTAATTTAAGACGTTAATAAATCCCTATCTACAGATTGACATCTTTGTATAGGAGAAGAGTGTGGTAGATATGAGCTGACCTCAGAATCAGAAAGAACCATGTCCTGATCCTACCTGACATGTACTGGCTGGGTGATCATGGGCAAGTCACTTAACCTCTTGGTATAGGCAATTCTCTAACACTATAAGTAAAAAGGTGACAACCTGTATTGACAGAGAAATTCCCTTCCCAGGAGTACCTTTCTTGAATGAAATCAATGGAGCAATTAAAAAAAAAATCGTACACCTAGAAAACCCATGACCATTAATGACAAAAACAAAAATCAATGGAGGTAATAAATGACTTTAGTAAGATAATAAGGTGATAAGATAAGTATCTGCCTTCCTTTACACCACTGCCAAGAATCACAGCAAACCAATAAAGAAATATTCTTTGTGACAGCAATGGAATACATCAAATATTTTATTGTAACTTAAACTGGAAGACTTACGATGACAACTTCAAAATGGCTGTTGATGGAAATTAAAATATGGAGCAATGTTCCATGTTCATGGTTAGTGAAAATGCCAGTAGTTTCCAAACTAACCTATAGACCTGATGCAATGCTAATCATGCTAACAATAGGCTGTTTCATAAAATCAACCATGATAACATTCATATGGGAAAACAAGCAAGACGATCAAGAACCATAAGAAAGAAAACCAACAAAGGGAATGAGAATGACCAGATTTCAAAATGTAATTTTACGGTAATTATTATGAAAATTATCTGGTACCAGGGAAAAATCAAGAAACAGATCGATGGAGCAGAAAAGAGAAAAAAACAATAGAAACCAAGGTAGGTAATAAAGATTCTGCTGAACAAACCCAGAAATGCTAAACCGTTATTTAAAAAATTGTTGGGAAGATTGAGTGGCCAAAAATGGGTTTAGATTCAAATCTCAATATGGACTCTAACTGGGTAATCAATGTAGGTATAAACAAATAATTAAAAACTGGAAGAAACAGTACTGTCATATTTGTCTCAGATAGGATGATTGGAGATTAAATTAACGTGTTTGATTATGCAAAGATAAAAGGATTTTCCATAGCAAAAAAAATGCTGTTAAAAGAAAAAAGATTGGGGGGAAAAACCACTGACAGTAATTAAAGATTGACAAACAGATCAATAAGGGATTGAAATTATATATACATATATATATATATATATATATATACCCACATATGTTATATATGTGTATATAAATTTCTGTGTATATATGTATATATGTGTGTATATTCATGTGTGTGTATTGTGTATAGGTACACATTTTATATGTGTACACATTATATATCTATTTTATTTATGCATATATGACATAATACAGTCTCCCTCAATGGAATCACAAGCATACAATTTTCTTAGGAGGAAATACAAATAATAACCCCATGAAAAGATGTTCAAATACCCTATAATCAGAGAAATATAAACCATGAGAACTTTAAGAAGCTACTTTATTTATACTAGAATGGCAAAAAAAAAAGATAAACATTCAATGTTGGTGGGGCTATTGGAGAAAGACTTGAATACATCATTGCTGGAATAGTAGACTGATGCAAACATTTTGGAAAACAATCTGACTACATACAATGGGAGGGATGAACCCCTGTTGATTTCATTGGCATAGAGAAGTCACTGGACATCTTGAACTGGATGTCTTGTAGACGTCTTCAATTCAACATCTCCAAAACTGAACTCATCCTCTTTCTCCTCAAAACTTCCTCTTTTCCAAACTTCCTTATTATTATTGGATATATCATCATCCCCCCCCCAGTTTTCCAGGCTCTAAACCTCAAAGAATTGAAACATGATGCTATCATCAGGTCTTCACACTCTCTCTTATTCCCCTATGTCCAATCCGTTGCCTAATTCTGTCAATTTTACTTCTGTAACATCTCTTGCACATGCTCCCTTCTCGCTTCTGACACTGCTGTCATCCTGGTGCAAGCCCCTGTTACACCATGCCTGAACTATTGCAATAGTCTGCTGCTGGGTCTGCCTGCCGCAAATCTCTCCCCATTCCAGTGTACTCTCTACTTGACTGTTGAAGCGACCTTTTCAAAGCACAGCATCATCCCCCTACTCAGTGAATTCCAGTGGCTTCTTTTCTCCTTCAGGATTAAATATAAAATTCTCTCTTTGGCATTCAGAGACCTTCCCAACCTGACCCTCCCCCATCTTTCCAGTCTTCTCACACCTTACATCCTTCACTCTGACCATATATTCTGGGGTCCAATGACACTGGCATCCTTGCAATTTCCTGTCCAAGATACTCCATTTGCCGATGCCAGGCATTTCTCCTGGCTGTCCCTCATGCCTGAAATGCTCCCCATCCTTATCTCCACCTGCTGGCTTCCCTGGCTTCCAGTCCCAGTGAAAATCCCACCTTCTGCACAAAGCCTTTCCTAACCCCTCCCCCCACCCCCCGTGGTTCTAGTGCACTCTCTCAGTTAATTATTTCCATTTTATCCTGTTGATAGCTTGTGTGTACGTAGCTGCTTGCTGTCCCTCCTCCCCAATTTGATTATGAGCTCCTTGCAGGCAGAGACCGTCTTTTGCATCTTTTGGTATCCACGATGCTTAGCACAGTGCCTGACACTGCTTCATAAATATTTATTGACTGATGAGGAAGCACTGGTGAGGCAATGTACAGTTTTCAATAGTTGCCGGGGGCTTTAAGAGGTTGTGACTTGACAAGAGGAACAGTGGGGGTCACAGGCAGGATTTGATTCTGGGTCTTTCTCAGTCTGAGGCTATCTCTTCGGCCTCCAGGCCATATTAAATCACAGAGTTGGTTCAGAAATTTAATTGCCGGAATTTCAGCCTAAAAGGATCCTAAAGAGGATGAAGAACCTTCCCATAGGGAAAAAAATTCATAACTGCTCTAGCTGTAGTTACTAAAAATCACTAACATTCCATGTTCAGCAGCCGGATAATGTTGAAATGAATTAGGCAGATTAATATGATGGAATAGTATGGTACCACAAAATGGCAAATACAAAGCAAACAAGGAAATATGGAAACACTTTTCCAAAGTGATGAAAATCAAGATCAGAACTAGAATGTGTACATATAACTACAATTATCTATTTATGTTGTTATTCAATTATTTCAGTCATAGCCAACTCTTCATGACCCCATTTGGGGTTTTCTTAGCAAAGATACTGGAGTAGTTGGTCATTTCCTCCTCCAGCTCATTTTACAGATAAGGAAACTGAGGCAAATGGTTAAATGACTTGCCTGCGGTCACACAGCTAGTAAGTGAGACTGGATTTGAATTCAGATCCTCCTGAGTCTAGGCCTGGTGCTCTATCCACTGCACTTACTAAAGGATGAGATGGAGAGATGGTTTCATGCAAACAACGAACATGAGCTCGGACAGGCTTCAAGAGATATTGGAGGAGGGGGCAGCTAGGTGGCACAATGGATAGAGCTCGGGCCCTGAAATCAGGAGGACCTGAGTTCAAATCTGGTCTCAGACCAAACACTTGACACTTACTAGCTGTATGACCCTGGGCAAGTCACTTAACCCCATTGCCTACAAAAAAAAAAGAGAGATATTGGAGGACAGAAGGGCTTGGTGTGCTCTGGTATGTGGGGCCATGAAGAGTTGGACATAACTGAATGACTAAACAACAATACATACACTATGTACATACATACATATACATGTATATATACAAAGAGGTATGAAAATTTCTAATTATGGCTCTGTCCATTCATATATATATGTGTGTGTGTATATATATGATATCCCTATATACATGTCATACCAATACATATGACGTACATACATACATACATACATGTATAGATTAATGACAGAGCCATAATTAGAAATTTTCATACCTGGGGTGTGGGGGGGGTGGGGAAAATCTTTATGAAACATACCCAAGACGAGCAATATGAAAAAAAGTTCTCAGAGTACGTTTAAAGGATAACTCTTGGTTGGCATGTAGATGGAGCCCCCAGAAATGAGGCTGTCAGTGGTAGTGGGGCTCCCCTGGCATTCAGCACCTGGGAGATGGGAGTGGTTGCAGAGGCTGCCTGGTAGCTTCCTATTTTGATTAATTCCTCTTTCCAAGTAGTAGGCTCACCCTCTCTCTACTGGTGAAGGGGTGCAAACACTATTCGGGCTCTCTAAATTCCAGCACAAAGTCCTGATTGTCCTGCCCTACTTATGGCTCTAAAAATCAATGTCACGGGCAGTGAAACTTCAGACAGACCACAAAAGAGTACCAGAGCAAATGTGTATTCTGTTACTTTGTGTCCTGCTATTTCTTGGGTTCTACCTTGTTAACTGTGAAGGGTTTTATGTGAGATTTCATTCCTTATTCTGTATATTTGTCTACTTATTTGATTATTTTTATTGATGGTTATTTAGTATGTATTTCAAAAAATTTTAAAAAGAAACACAGAATCTGCCTCCTCTCTTTTCATTTCAGGTTACTCTCCACTCAGCTGCCAAACTGATCTTCCTGAAGCATAAATCTGACCATGTCATCCTCCTATTCAACAAATTCCAGCGGTTTCCTATTACCTCCAGGCTCAAATACGAAATCTTCTGTTTGCCTTTTAAAGCCCTCGCCCTTTCCTGCCTTTCTGGTCTACTTACATCTAATTCTTCTCCACATACTCTATCCACTGCCATCCAGTGATGCTGGCCTCCTCACACACAAGGTGCTCCATCTCCTGACTCGTTGCATTTTCATTGACTGCTCCCCATGCCTGGAATTGTCTCCTTCCTCATATCCGCTTCCAGACTTTCCTGGCTTCCTTAAAGTCCCTGCTCAAATCTCACCTTCTGCAGGAAGGCTTCCCCAAGGCTCATTAATGCTAGAGCCCCTCTCAATGTATTTTGTACATGTTTTACTTGTACTTAGTTGCTTCATAGATCCTTTAGAGCAGGGATTTTTCCTTTGGTCTTTCTTTTTATCCCCAGAGCTTAGCACAGTGCCTGGCACATGTTAGGTGCTTGATAAAAAAACTGTTGACTTTATGACTACCATTTGATACTCAGGCTAGCCCCACAACCCCAAATGGGGTCACAAAGAGTTATACACATCTGAGACGACTCAACAACAACAATGAGGGGGTAGAGGAAGGAAGGATGAATGAGAGGGAAGCTAAATCTCTCAGCTCTCTCCCCAACCCCATTTACAGTGGAGTGCTAGGTAACCCCTCACCTTGAATATTTGCCCTTCTCCAATGTTGATGACTGCCAGGATGACTCGGACGGAGCTCATGCTTGGCCTCAGGCTTTCAAATAGGCTTCTGGGGAGCCGGACTCTGTCAAGTGCCTCCATCTCATTCCCAGTCAGTGTCACTGGCACCTGCAATTGCAATCCAATCATCCTCCCCTTCACCAGAGGGCTCAGGGGCCCTACTGGTCCCATCCATCAGATGGAGAAACTAGAGCAGCTTGTGGAGAAGAGACTAACCCTGAGAGAGTGAAGGAGAGGAACTCTGAGGAGCTCCTCTAACCTCAAGAGCATGAGATAAGGTCTAGAAATCCCAGTCCTTCTCTGCCTCTAACCCACTGAGGTTTCCTTCAGCAAATCACATCTCCCTATCTAGGGGCAATGTGGTAAACTGGAAAGGTCATGGGACTTGGAATCAGATGGACTGGGTTCAAATCCACGCTCTGATATGCACTAGGTGATTTTGGGCAAGTCAGATTATCTAGTCAGTTTCTCCATCTGTAAAGTTGGGGGTATTGGAAGAGATCAGAGGCAGTCTAGTGAAGCCTATGGACCGCTTCTCAGAGTCATTTTAAAAAAAATAATTGAAACAAATGCTAAATTTCAGTTAGATGTTGGTGAGACTAAAGATGTTATTTCTCCCCCATCCAATTTCACAGATCCCTTGAAATTTCTCTGTGGACCTAAGATTAAGAACCTCTGAACTAGATGGTTTCTGAGTTCACTTCCTCTGAATGCTAAAATTCTATCTCTGTGTTCTGTATACCAGAAGTCCCCATGGGAGAGGGAAGAGACACTGTCATTTCCAAGGCCAAATCTGGCCCTTCATGGAATATATAAGATTTGGGAAGGGATAACCTGGGTGGAGGAACTGGAAGGGAGAATCAATGTTGGGGAAAAAACTTAGCTGGAGAGATTGCATGATTCATGAGAGTGCTGATAATCCCAAGGGATATGAATGAGGGGAGTAGGACACCAGGAGTTAGGAGACCATTCACCTGAGATGGTGAGATGGAGAAGAAGAGGTCTTGGGAAGTGTTGACAGCGATATTCTGGATGGTTGCCTTCACCATAGTTTCATCCAAAACAGGCACTGGTGAGTTTTCTTTAGCCAATTCTTCGAACTTCTTTATCCAGAATCTGCATAGGGGAATGGACACTGGGATGGGAGTTGGGAGGTCCTACAGATTGACTTCAGCTCTAACCCTAAATTCACTCAGGCCCCCTCGTATACTTCTGTATGGACATAGAAACTTGGGAGTAAATGACTAACGTTCATTCTGTCCCTAACTCATAGCCAGCGGCTACTATCCAGAAGATGCTTGAGATGATCAGAGACTTCCAGATAGCATCCCTAACAGGCACTGTGTGTGTGTGTGTGTGTGTGTGTTGGGAATAGTAGGTGGGGGTTCTTGCATTGGGAGGTTCTGATACTTGTTAGAACCTTCCCACCCTCCACTAAAGGTTCTAATTAGTATTCCTAGTTGTGGGTTTCTGAACCTACCTTGTTCCAAACCCAACTTCCCAAAGCCTACCCTACAACCTCCTACCTTAGGAGCTCAGGTACAAATGGAGAAGGGCAATATATAAACCCACTAAACCTCTTCTATTATGGGGATGGGGAAATGACAATATTTGCTTCTCCCGAGTGCAAACCAGGATTAATCACTACCACCTACTCTTAAACTGACACTGAGTCTCCCCTTCTTTATCTAGTTCAGATGAAGTCACAGAACTGCAGTGCAAACCCATCTCCTACAGAAGGCCTTTCCTGGTTTCCCTAGCTGCTAGTGCCTTCCCCAATGAGATTTCCTCCACTCTATTCTGTATGTATCTTGTATGTATCTAGTTATTTGCATGTTCTTTTCACATTAGAATGTAAGCTCCTTGAGATCAAGGGTCATTTTAACCCTTGTTTGTATCCCCAGTACTTAGCATAGGGCCGTGCATGTTATAGGTGCTTAATAAATGCTTAGAGAGAGAGAAACAGAGAGAAGGGGAGAGACAGAGACAGAAAGAAAAGGAGAGAAACAGAGACAGAAAGGGAGAAAGGAAGAGAGAAACAGAGACAGACAGACAGAGAGAAAGAGAGGTTAAATCTTAGGGTTGTAAGTGACTCCAGAAGGCCACTGGTCCAAATTGAACTTAGACTCTATAACTTCCTCAACAAATCAGTCTCCAGCTTATGCCACAAGACCCCAAGAGAGGACAACTGATTCCATGTTGGGTTGTTTCCATAGCTAGGAGTTCTGTCCTTGTGTCATTGTGTAGCAGGCCAAGCATTGGCTCTGGAGCTTGGTTCAAATCCCAGCTCTGCCACTCCCTAACCTGTGTGGCCTTGAGCAAACCACCTAATCTCTCTGGGCCTCAGTTTCCTAATTTGTAAAATGAAGAGATTAGATCAGATGACCTCCACTGTCCCTTCTAGCTCTAGAACTATTAGCTTACAGACCTAAATTAGCAACTTCTACCTATTGTTTCCAGTTTTTCTCCCTGGGACAAGGAGGACACATCTAATCTCTCTTCCCTGTGATGGTCAACAAAGACTTGAACACAGTTATCACATCTCCCTCAGTCTTTTCATCACTAGTTCTTTTAGCCAATCCTGGACCATGGCATAGTCTCATTTCCTCACTGTCCCTGTCACTTTTCCTTCTCTGAATGCTCTTTAGCTTATCAACAGACTTCCTAAAGTGTGGTATGCAGAAGGGCACACAAAACTCTGGATCAACAGTGTCAAACTCAAATAGAAACAGGGGCCTCTAAGCAGTGTATAAGGTTCTCTGTAGTGTCCATATCGGTTAGAAAACCACATATTAATATCATCTATGCTTTATTGTGTTTTTATTTATTTTGGTTAGATATTTCCCAATTACATTTTGATCTCTCAGGCCATCCTTGGGATTATTGTGGGCCACATGCAGCTGTGGGCCGCGTGTTGGATATCTATGCTCCAGATATTGTTTTAGGACAGAGTACAGTGCAATCATGGCCATCTTCCTTCTGGACACCATGCCCTTCCCAGCGCAGGCTAAGATCATTTGCTTCTTTTGACTGTCACATTATACCATTGACTAACATTAGTCTGCCAAAACCCCCCAAAAATGTTTCATATGAATTATCGTCTTCCACATTTTGAAGTTGGGAAGTGAATTTCTTGAGCTCAAATTTGAGTCTCTTCATTGATGACAATGAAATGTCATCATATTCTATGGTGCCCATCATTCTAAACCGTCTAGATCCTTTTGGATCCTGACTCTATTATCCAATGTGCTAGCCATTTCCCCTGTTTTTGTGTCCTCTTCAGGTTTCATAATTATGCCCCTACACATTTATCCAAGTCATTGATCAAAATATTTGGTGGCACAAAGAGGAAGACAGATTCTTAGGGAACTAGTCTACTGAAGACCTTCTTTCCAAGTGAAATTGATCCATTAATGAGTATTCTTTAGACCTAGTCTGAATGAACTTAACCAAATTATCATCTAGTTTATTTCTTTTCATCTTGTCCACAGAAATACTACGGGATACTTTGTTAAATGCTTTGCCTAAGCCTAGCATCTCCCTGAGCTACTGGTCTAATGATATTGTCAAAAAAGGAAATGAGGTTTGTCTGGCATGATCTCTTCTGGGGGAAGCATGCTGACTGTCTATGATCACTAATTCCTTTTCTTAATGCTCATGAACTATCCATTTAGTATGGATTTTTACCATTTATCAAAGATCCAGACTTTGTAGACTCTACTCCCCTCTGGGTTTTTGTTTGTTTGTTTTGTTGTTGTTTGGAAAATTGAGACAAGACTTGATCTTTTCAAATCATGTATCACTGCTCTATCCTCCACAATCTTTAAAAGGTGACTGATGGTAGATTAGCAGTCATGTCCACCAATTCTTTTAACAATCTGGGTTGTAATTAATCTAGTCCTGGTGACCTGAATCCCTGGAAGGTTGCTAAGTACTCTCTTATCCTTAGCCTTAGTGGAGAAAAGAAGCAAAGTACGAATTGAGTAGTTCATCCTTTTTATTGTCATTTACTCTTTCCTCATTCACCCACTCTGAGCTAGGATCCTGCATTTTTCTTTGATCTTCATCTTCAGCTTTAAAAAAAAAAACAAACTACTTTTTGTGGCCCTTGGTGCTCATCATTAACCTCAGTGTACCTTGAATGTTAGTGGTTTACCACACTTTGATACATCTGCCTCTGTTGCCCTCCTTTGCTCCTACCTTCAATTCAATTTAACAGTTGTCAAGAGCCTAGTATGAGCAAGCCATTGTGCTAGATGGTGGGAATACAAAGAAACAAAAAATAGTCCTACCTTCAAGGAGTTTATATTCTACTTGTGGACATAACATGCAAACTGATAAGTAAATACAAGAAAATTTGAGGAGGGTGAGCACACTAACTTCTGTTTTATGGATCTTAAAAATCTAAGGAGAAACCAATTTCTTCTTGCAGGACAGAATGAAATCCAGAATAGTAGTTCCCTTCATTGGTTTCTGGATATTTTTGAGAGATGAAATAATGACTCTCACCTCTCTATCACCTGGGGCTTACACTCTGGAGTACTTCTGTTACATGAAACAAAGCACCGAGCGGCCGCATACTGAGATGGAGCTGGGGCTTCTCCAGAGCAGAAATTGTTTTCTTTCTCTTCGGCCTTCATAGGATCTAGAAGACAAGGCCCCCAAAGAAAGAAGAAAAGGACTCACATATACAAAAGCTATTTATATCAGCTCTTTTGCAGTGACAAAGAACTGGGAACTAAGGAGAGTGCTTGTCAAATAAGGAATGGCTGACCAGATATGGAGGTGGTGGAATATTTTGGTATTGTAGGAAATCACTAAAGGTATGATTTCAGAGGGTTTGGGGAAGACTTCTCAGAACTGGTACTCAGTAGGGTGGGTAGAACCAGGAGAACAATTTATGCAATAATAACAATATTATAAAGGACAACTTTGAAAGATGTGAGCATTTTGGTCAATGTGATGACCAAGTATGATTGCAGAAGGCTGATGATGAAGCCTGCTACTCCCCTCCTGACAGACAGTTGATGGACTCAAGGTATAGAACGAGACACACATTTTTGGACATGACCAATAGGGGATTTCCTTTAGCTTGACTATGCCTATGTGTTACAAGGGTCTTCTTCCTTCCTTCCTTCCTTCCTTCCTTCCTTCCTTCCTTCCTTCCTTCCTTCCTTCCTTCCTTCCTTCCTTCCTTCCTTCCTTCCTTCCTTCTTTCCTTCCTTCCTTCCTTCCTTCCTTCCTTCCTTCCTTCCTTCCTTCCTTCCTTCCTTCCTTCCTTCCTTCCTTCCTTCTTTCCTTCCTTCCTTCCTTCCTTCCTTTCTTTCTTTCTTTCTTTCTTTCTTTCTTTCTTTCTTTCTTTTCTTTCTTCTTTCCTTTCTTTTTTTCTTTCTTTCTTTCTTTCTTTCTTTCTTAATGGTAGAAAAGCAGCACGGAACAAAATGTTTCCTAATTGAAAAATAAATCAAAGATATGATGCCAGAGATACAAATGAAAGCTGCCCTGTGCTTCACTAGAAGAATGAAGTAGGGATGGGGGAGATGATGGGGAGCTGACTGATCCCATCAACAATTCTTCCTTCTTCCATGAAATCTTTCCTGAGTACATTAACTGAAGATGACCTTCCTTTCCCATTACACATCCAATCAGCCCTTCAGTATATACTGTCATATGTAACATGTCTTATTATATGTTAAAGTGGATAGAGAGCTGGTCTCAGAAGTAAGAAGACCTGGGTTCAAATCCCGCCCTTGACATATATTGAACGGATGACCCTAGCTAAATCACTTAACCTTTCAGTGCTCTAGGTATTTCTTTAGGAGCAGGTACCAGTATGCTTTGGTAAAAGATGTTTCTCACCAGGAGATCCCTATACTGAAGAAATCAGAGATTTGGTTAAAAGTAGGTAAGGAACAGTTGGTATAATACTCTGTCCCCAGCTTCCCTCATGTAGTGTGGTGAGATACAATTATGATAAGGGATGTGAAAGTACCTTTCAGAGAAATGGCAAAACCTCATACATAGGTTTGTATTGGTATCAGGCATCAGTATTTTTACATATGTATGTGTTGTCAACAGGCATTAGCATTTTTTATTCAGAGGTTAAGGAAATACAAGAAGACTCTAAGGGATAATCCTTTTTCTTGAGAGTTGGAAAAGACCTTTGAAGTCTGCTGATTCAATGACTATGTTTTAAATGGAAGACAGAGAAGAGATTTCCTCAAGGTTACTCAAGGGTTAATGAGGAGCCAGTTGGGATTCAGCCCCTCGTTCTCTGCCTTCAGAGCTCTTTGTACTAAACCCAGAGGACCTTAATCTTTCCTTGTTAGAGTACAAGTGGGAAAAGCCCAAAGTAAAGATCACTCACCGTCTCTGGTGAACTTTCTATGATTCCCATATGAGAGTCTGCTTTACCTTCATTGTCCTCTTGTGGTTTACGGTGGCCGGCATACCAGTGTGTGTCCCTGAGTCATTCTCTATATTTGTATGCACGAGAGTGAGTATATCCTATCACCCTAGGCAAAGGGTGAGCTCTTGGGGGCACACAAGGGGTCTTCCATTTCTTCTGTTTCATTGCTGGGTCTAGCAAGGGCTCTTGTTAGTCTAGAGATGGTAGAGAGGCTCTTCTCTCTCCCTCCCCCCTCCCCCTTTTAGAATGTGAGCTTTTGGAGAGAAAGGACTAGGTGTTTTGGCTTTTTTTGGATTCCCAGAGTGCCTGGGACATAATTAATAAATACATGCTGACTGACTGGCTGATAGGGGCCCAATCTGTAAACCACGGAGGATGAAGAACCTGCCGCACTTCCTCTTACAGATGTCACATATAACAATGACAGTTATTATTGTTGGTTCCTTCTGTCACTGGCTATGTGAAATTGGGTCAGAGAAAGCTTTATGGAGGTGGTAAGACTTGAGCTGGGCCTTGAAGGACACATCTCAAATCCAGGGACCAGACAGAGATCCTAAACAGATAGATTGGCAGAGCTAACATTCCCCCCTCACAGATGCCTACTCTGTCTGACAGATGATAACCTAGCTCCAGCTCTCTTCTCCCCTTCCCCTTCTGAGTCCAACACTCAGCCCCTCAGGTCCCTGGAAGGAGAAGAAAATCTAGTTATGTCTCCTCACTAGCCAAGCCCATGGGTCTCACTGGAGTTGTATAATTCAGTCCCAGAAGGGTAGGTAGCTCTTAGGGGGAAGGAGGGAGCAACTGGCCTACTCACCCAATTGAAGCAGGAAGAAAAGTTGGAGAAGCATGTTCCCCATATGTGTTGATGTATGTTGGCGTTGTGATTCCCCCGTGACTGGTCTCAGTCTCATTCTCTCACCATGGGAGGTCTAGACAGATCTCTCCTGATGTCTGTCTGAGCTGCACAAGGCCCTGTGATCATTCTGTGACTACAGTGTCCCTTACACTTCCTGTTTGTCCATTCTTCCTGTTACGAAAGATGGTAACTGTCACAGATGGATTAGGACGCAGACTTCAAGTCATATCCTGAGACCTTCTCTTCATCCCTGTCTATAGCAGTTACCATGAGAATAAATTGTAGTTAGGGTTGAACACACGTCACTACCAAGCAGGTCGTGGAGGCAGGGCCAGGAGACCAAAGAATATCTGGGGCTCAGGCCAAGGTTGCTCCTTCCTGGAGGTGGGAAAGGGCTCCAAACTTCCCCAACTCCCTGGCTACCCAATTATCCTCTGAAGGAGCACCTTCCTGCTAATAAGGCCTCATCAGACCTGCCTCGACACCCATCCTCATGCTACAGAGCATTTCTGGCAAGGCTTCAGGCAGGATGTGGAAAGAGGAAGTCAGTCGCTTTCATATTTGGTGCTGACCTGTAGCTCTGGCTTCTGGCCCACCTGCAAGTGCACTTTCCAGAATTATAGGTGGTAGCCTTTCCTATAAACCCAGGATGGGATCATAGCATTGGATTTAGAGCAGAAAAGGATATTAGAGACCATCTAGTCCAAACTTTTCATTTTACAAATAAGGAAACTGAGGCCCAGGGAAATGGTTACATATTTCATAGTTGTATATGTACATGGTGTCCCTCTTGGTAGAATGTAACATTCTTGATGAATTTTTGACCTAAGAAAGAATAAGGAAGAATTACAAAAAGCTAGATAATTTTGATTATGTGACATTGAAGAGCTTTTGCACAAACAAAATTAATGTATCTAGAATAAGAAGGAAAGTAGTCAACTGGGAAAACATCTTAGTATCAAATATTTCCAATAAGGCTTTGGTATCAAGATAAATTGACAACTAACAGAAATATGTAAGACCCAAATTTATTCCCCAATGGACAAGTGGTCAAAGGATATGAATAAACACTCTTAGAATAAGATCGCTAATCATTTACAGCTCTATGAAAGAATCCTCCAGATCACTAGCAATAAGAGAAATACAAATCAGAACAATGCTGAGGTTTTCCCTCACACCTATCAAACTGGCAAAGATCATTAAAGATGTGAATAGTCAATGCTAGACAGTCTGTGGAAAAATAAGCACAATAATGCGTTATTATTGGATTTGAGAATCAGCACAACTATTTTGGAAAATAATTCTGAAGTACGCAAATAAAGTAACCAAAATGACCTTTAACCAGATAATCCACTGCCAGGCATGTACCACAAGGAGATCATTGAAAAAAAAAAAGCCCCCATATATACCAATATATTTATAACAGTATTTTTTGTGGTAGCAAAAATTGGAAACAAAGTAGATGCCCATAAATTGGGGCAATGGCTAAAGAAATTGTTGTACATAAATCTAATGAATATTACTGTGCTGTAAGAAGTGATGAATGCAACGAATAAGTAAAAGCATGGAAAGACTTAGGCGAATTGACACAAAATGAAGAAAAGCAGAGCCAGGAAAAGAATATAGGCAATGACTAGAATGATGTCAATGAAAAGAACAATGATCACAGAAATATTTAATATAAATATTGTAAACTTTCCAAGAACGGGCTTGGCTGCAAAGAAGAGATGATACCTCCCTCCCCTTCTCTGCAAGGGGCGTGTAGGGGCGGGGTCTACAGATGTGGAACACTGAATACACTGTCAGTTTTTTTTGAGGGGTTTTCTTGATTCCAGCCACCCCTTCTTTTTCTATTTAAAAAAATATTCTTTGTTATAAGGGGTGGTTTTCTGGCAAGGGACAAGAGGAGGTATGCAGGGGGAAATCTAGGTGATTAAAGCAAAAGAAATCAATAAAAGCTATTTTTAAAAAGAATGCAAGCTCTCCAACTGCAGGGATGTTTCACTTGTGGTCTGAATGTAGCACATAGCAGGTATTTTATAAATGCCTGTTATCTAAGTGCCTTGCCCAAGGCCTCATAGTGTTTGTTGTTAAGTCGTTTCAGTCATGCCCAACTCTTGGTGACCCCATTTGGAGTTTTCTTGGCAGGGATATTGGAGCAGTTTACCATTTCCTTCTCCAGCTCATTTGACAGATGAGGAAACTGAGGCAAACAGGTGAAGTGACTTGCCTAGGGTCTGAGGCTGGATTTGAATTCATGAAGATGAGTCTTCCTGACTCCAGGCCCAGCCCTCTAGCCACTATGATATCTAGTGCCCCCCCCCATGTTGTAGTAAGTATTGAAAGTAAGATTTGAATTCAGGCCTCTACTCTCTGCACTCTACCACCATAGGCACCAGCCTAATTACTGCTCCACCAATCCTTCCCATCAGCCTTTAGGGGATATCTACCAGGTAACACTTGCTCCCCACCAACAACCTTTTGCACATCCAGTCTGTCCCACAGAACTGGACGCTTGCCTGCGGGCCAGGACTCAACCTTCTATTTCCTCCATTCTCTCGACAACCCCCTGCAAGACTTTTAATCTCTTCTACCTGCCCAGCCCAGGACCCATGCCTAGACAGCACAGAGCTCTGTTTCTAAATCCCCGATATATGACTGAGGCCTTGCCTTGGGGAAGAAGCTCTCCGGTGTCTCCTGCAAGATGGAGGTACCGAGTAGAAGACAAGCCAGGAAGCCGGCAGTCCTTGGCCTGACTTCTTTAATTTCTAGGTACCCCAGTGGGTAGCTGGGAGGAAGATGATGGATCTGCCTCTCACCTGGGAAGCACAAACAGTGACAATGTGTGAATTTCAGATAAAATAATTCCCTGCTTTATATAAAAAAACAACCCCAAACCAAAAAACAGACCAGCCCTGACTTGTCTACACAGAAGCCTAGATGGGGGCCTATCTGCAAAGGGCTTTGGGATCCTTGGATAAGGGAGCGTGAAGACCTCAACAGCTGGAAGGATTGGGTTTTCCCAGAAAAGAAAGACTCAGCCGAGGAAGGGGAAGCAGGTCTGGGGGGGCTGCAGTCACCGTAATAGGCTAATTCATTGGTGTTGAGCGCTTCCAGCTGTGAATAGGATGGAAGTTGGCCACAGTAGGGGATGAGCTAATGGAATCAGGAAGGAACAGATGAGACCTCCAGCACCACCATTATCCCATCCCCAGGCTACCTCTTACCCCAGAGGTCTAGCGCCAGCTGTGAAACCTTCAAAGTGCAGCCTAAATGAGCCTGTGGTCTTCAGGCGCACCCTCCCAAGCACTTCTCAAAAACCCCCTAAGGGGGATAACTGTTTCCTTAACAGAAGGCAGTGATCAGCAGGTCAGTCCTCTATGTGGAGGCTGCCGTTCCAGGCCTAAGGATGGGGAGTGGCATCAGACTCTTGATGCTGGAGGCCAGCAGTGTAACTAATGGGGTATTGTCCAGGAGTCATCCGAGTGGGGCACACTTCCTCTTCTGCCTCTCCTTGAGATCTTCTACGGGCCTATGCTGCCATACTCAAGGTCCTGCTGTGTTTTCCACCTCTTGGATCTCCTTTCCCTAGAATTCTCTTCTTTTTTGGGGGGGGGAGGGGCGGGGAGGGAAGGCCTAGACCTGGAGCATCCCTCCGCTTATTGAGACTACATTCTAGGCCAGACTGTCTTTCAGACAACTGCCACCACTGACTTCCCTTCTATTTTTGCCCTGGGTACAAAAAAATTCTATTATGGCTCTTACTTTTAAATAGGTATGTAACCTCAGCAGGGGTCTATCATCTCCTGACAAAGGGACAGGGTAGCACGTGGACAAAATAGCTTCTATCTCCTGATCTGAGTGCCCAGGCTTATGAACTTAGTGTCACTCCCTTTCCCTATCTGGGTCATAATTTCCTCACATAAAAGGAGGGTGTTGGTGCAATGCATTAGAATTAACCCAGATTTGGACTCAAAAGACCTGTGTTGAATTCTCATTTTCCCTTTAGTAGCTGTGCGACTTTGGGCAAGCCACATGACCTCTCTAGGCCTCAGTTTTCTCATCTATAAAAGGGGAATGAACTAGAGGTGATCTCTAGGGATTCTGTTTCTAATTTCTATGATCCTGGCATGGGATGATCTGTCTCAAAGATCCCTCCCAGTTCTGATATTCTATGACATATGATTTCAAAATATCTTGGCTGTCAGCCTGACCCCGATGGCCGAGATTCCCAAGCTTTGGCATAAGGTATTTGGTATTCAGAAGACCCTCATTACATAGGAGGGCCAAGCTGCTAACCTGTTAGTGCCTGCCAATAGCTGAACCCTGACTGGCTCATCAGATTAGCCAGCTCTCACTTAGCAGGCCCTTTTAGCAGGAGGGGAACCAGAATGGCCAACTTTTGAGGGTGATAGAGCCTCATTAGCCTCCCTCATCCCCTGAGCCTTCTTGCCTTCTTTCACCAAGAGGCAACATAGTCTGAAGGCAGAGGACCTAGGTTCAAATCCCAGTTTTGCTATTTGTCACTTTGCCTCCCCCCTTCCCCCATCTGTTTCCTCATCTACAAAGCAGGGTAGATTTCATAGGTTTAGCAATGGAAAGAGAGCTCAAAGGCCATCTACCTTGATGCCTTTCTCTTACAGATGAGGAACAGACCCAGGAAGACTGACTCTTCCAAGGTCACACAGGGAGTATCTGAGATGGGATATGAACCCCAGGCCCTCAGACTCTGCAACCAGTTCACTAAAGACCCCTCTCTAAAGCTATGATCCTACTTTTATCAAGAGACCCAAATACATTTTTTCTCTTTTTCTTTTTTGTAAATAGTATTTTATTTTTTTCCACTTACATGTAAAGATAGTTTTCAACATTCATTTTTTACAAGATTTTGAGTTTCTAATTTTTCCCCCTCCCTCCCTCCCATCCCCCCTCCCCAAGATGGCAAGTAATTGCTATAGGTTATAGATGTGCAATCATGTAAACATATTTCCACATTAATCCGTCTTGAAAGAAGAAACAAAACAAAAGGGAAAAGCCACACATACACACAAAAAAAGAGAAAATATGCTTTGGTCTGCATTCAGACTCCATAGCTTTTTCTCTGGATGGGGACAGCATTTTCCACCATGAGTCTTTTGGAGTTGTCTTGGGTCATTTTATAGCTGAGAAGAGCTGTGTCAATCACAGTTGTTCATCACAAAATGCTGCTGTTGCCGTGTACACCGTTCTCCTGGTTCTGCTCCCTTCACTCAGCATCAGGTCCATCCAAGTGTTTCCAGGTTTTTCTGAAGTCAGCCTGTTCATCATTTCTTATAGCACAATAGTATTCCATTACATTCATATATCACAACTTGTTCAGCCCAATCGATGGGCATCCTCTCAATTTCCAATTCTTTACCACCACAGAAAGAGCTGCTATAAATATTTTTGTACATGTGGATCCTTTTCTGTTTTTTTATGATCTCTTTGGGGTACAGGTCTGTATTGCTGGATCACAGGGTATGCACAGTTTTACAGCCATTTGGGCATAGTTCCAAATTGCTCTCTAGAATGGTTGGATCAGTTCACAACTCCACCAACAATGCATTAGTGTACCAGTTTTCCTATATCTTCAACATTTATCATTTCCTTTTCTGTCATATTAGCCAATCTGATACTGATGAAGCGGTTTTAATTTGCATTTGCATTTCTCTAATCAACAGTGATTTAATCAGTATTTAATTTAGTGATTTAAAGCATTTTTTCGTATGACTATAGATAGCTTTAATTTCTTCATTTGAAAACTGCCTGTTCATATCCTTTGGCTATTTGTCATTTGGGGAATGATTTGTTTTCTTATAAATTTGACTCAGTTCTCTGTATATTTGAGAAATGAGGCCTTTATCAGAAACACTGGCTGTAAAAATGTTTTCCATCTTTCTGCTTTCCTTTTAAGCTTGGTTGCATTGATTTTGTTGACACAAATATATTTCAAAACCAACAAGCTATGTCATAAATCTCTTGCCACCTCCATCTCATCCCAATTTTCTAGATCCAACACAGGGTTAGGACCCCTTCCATTGCTTCTCCTTCAATGTGGTTAATGAAGGGCTAACCCCAGCACCCTGCCTAACTGCACTATGTTTTCCATCATGGCATCTACCTAGTTGGGGCCGGGATTTGGTAGGGGAGACAGAGTAGTTTCAGAGGCTTCTGGGAAGGTTGGCAGCACAGATATCCTTTAATAAGCCAACATTAGAGGAAACAGTGCATTTGATCAAAATTACAGACTATGTACAATATTAAAAATATATACAACAAGCACAGTGCGTGACAGCTACTAAAAAACCATTGTCCCAAGAAGGTAGGCTGACTGGAGATGGGAGGAATGGGATGCTGCCTCTGGGGGAGATGAGGCTGGAGACCACAACTCCCTAATCCTAGCTGTTCTTGGGAGCTCAGAAGGGAGACTTGGTCTTGTGAAAAGGCAGTATAGTATAGAAAAGATCAAAGAGGGAGACCTGACTCTGTGACCTTGTATACAGCACAGCCCCTCTCTGGGCCTCAGTTTCTCCAGCTGTAAAATGAGAAGGTTACACTACATGGTCTCTAAGGGCCCTTTCCAGCTCTGATAATCTTTGGTCTCCAAATTAGGGCAGTAGACGGCCACTTCTCCCCCAATCTCCTCCCCCCTTTCTCTCTCTCTCTCTCCCCCGATACTTCCCATGGAACATTTTGGTTTTCCCTCACATTAGAATAAGGATGAAAATGAGAAGTGTGATGGCCACAATTTGAGCTAGGAGCTATTCATTTCAAAGTTGGGGGAAGAGCCCAGGGAAAGATGCTCTATAACCCTATGCTGTTGGGGTAGAGGGCAGAAGATGACAGGAGCTTTCTAGATCTACCAGTATCTGAACACTGCCATTTCTGCCCCTGAACCCTGAGGACTGGCCCAGGCCAGGAGAGACTGGAGATTGGTATCACTCCTGTGGCAGAGAGAAGATGGAATGAGTTGGGACCTGAGAGGTCACCTCAGTCCTGGGTCATGGTTGATCTGGAGAAATCTACGATCTTCTACAGCTGCTCTGAGGTTAATGGGATTCTCCTACCTGGGAAGAATTCCCATCTAAAAATTCCATGACAAATATTTGATCATTGACCTTCCACTTGAACACTTCCATCGATAGGGAATGTACTATCTCATTCTATTCTATTTTGGGGTAACTCTAGGTAATTGATAGAATGTTTTTTTTCCCACATGTTGAGCTGAAGTCTGAAACAACCTCAGAAAAAAATAGCTCAGTCTAGGGGATTTACATAGAACCAATGTTTTGGTTCCTCCTGAGAATGGACCAGGGGATGTTCTTTATGTAGTCTCCAGGCTAAAGCTGAACCAAGGTTAAGTTGGAATATCTGAAGCTCAGTCTCAAGCTTTAGCCTCATTGTGGGATGACAGAAGAGCTGACAAATGTCAGAGCCAAGAAAGTGTCCCATTTCTCTTCTCCTATTACTCTATTCAAGCCTATTAACACCTCTTCCCTCACCCCAACACCAAGATGAATTTCATTCCTTAGGACACCTCACATACCTCTCCTCTTCTTTAAAGTCATCATAGCAGGGGCCAGAGAAAGCCGCCCCACCCCCGCCACTACTGCTTTGTTCCACTAGACTGGAGCCCACAGCCCAGAACATTTATCAAGACTGTGAAGAAGAAGTCCAGTCAGACAGACTGAGAAAGTCCACACATGAGCCAAGGGCTGTGAGGGGTGGGAGAAAGAGGAAAGAGGGACAAGGGAAAACTGGTTTTCTCCTCTCCTCTTCTGTCTGGAGTGGGCAGGCACAACCTCTTAGTGCCTAGATGCGGCTGCCAGAGGAGCTCCCAGAATTGATGGGTAACTTGACGCTGTCCGAGGTGCTCTTCAGAGGGGAAGGGCCCCTGGCCTGGAGTTTCATCGACCAGTACCAGAGAAATATCAGGAAGCCTGAGAAGGGGGAGAGACAGAGAGAGTGAGTGGGGGGGGTCACCTACCCAAACCTACCCTTCCCTTCAAGGTCCAGCCCTAATGCCACTTACCTATGGGTCCTAATGGCTCTATAGACCAGTCTGACAGCTCTGGCTCTTACCTGTTTTCCCCTTCCACAGGGCTACTGTTGATAGTCTGAACTATATAATTCTTCATTTAATCATTTGCTATATTATGAGGTTATTGAGTTCTTCTCTGTGTGTCAGATGTTTTTCACTACCCAGGCAGGTCCTCAATGCAAAGGACTAGTGTAGTGGAAAGAACCCGGGTCGAGGGTCAGGAGACATGGGTTTAAATCCTGGCTTGACAACTTCTACCTGTGTGACCTTGGGCAAAATCATGTCCCCTCTGAATTTCCTCATCTATGAAATGAGAGGGTTGGACTAGATGACCTCTAAAGTTCATTCCATGACTATGTCTTCTCTGTAACTCCCACAGCATCTCCTAGGGCCAGGACTAGAGTAGATGTTACTTATCATCTGGCTATAAGACACTTTTCTAGATGCCTCCAACTATTGGTACTTCTCTCCTTTTAAAAAATTTTGTTCAGTCATGTTTGACCCTTCCTGACCTCATTTGGAGTTTCTTGGCAGAGTGGTTTGCCATTTCCTTCTCCAACTCATTTTACAGGTTTGGAAACTGAGGCAAATAGGGTTAAATGACTTTCCTAGGGTCACACAGCTAGTAAATGTCTGAGGCCAGAGCTGAACTCAGGAAGATAAAGTCTTCCAGACTCAGGCCAGCAATCTATCCACTGTGCCATCTAGCTGCTAAATTACTTGCTTTATTTGTCTGTTTGACAGCTAAGGTGGTATAGTGGATAGAGTGTTGTATTTAGAGTCAGAAGGTCTGAGTTCAAATCTCATCTCAGATGCTTCCTGGCTATGAGCCCTGGGGCAAATCAGTATATCCGTTTCCCGTTCTGTAAAATGGGAGTAATGACAGCAGCTACCTCCCAGGGTTGCAGTGAGGATTAAACAAGTACTTTGCCAATCTTAAGGAGCTATATAAAAGTTAGCTATTATGTATTTTATGTTATCTGCATGCACGTTGTAACCCACCGCTCACCCCTAACTCCAGTAGATTAGAAGCTCTTTAAATTCAAGGAAAATTTTCTTCCTCTTTTTTTTTTTTGGTCTTTGTTATCCCCAGTGCCTGGAACAGAGGAGGAGCTTAATAATTACTTGTTGACTGGCTAATAGGGAAACAACTCCCCATGCATGATCAATCTCATATTGCTGCCTTCTTGATGGGTGGGGGAGGGGCTGGAGGGAGGGAGAGAATTTGTAACTCAAAAATTTTTTTAAATGAATGTTAAAAAAGAATAATTTATTTAAAAACTGAAAAGAAAAGAAAACTTGTTGATTCATAGAATCATAGATTTAGAGCTAGGAGGGACCTTACAGATCATTGAGTCTAACCAGATTCCCTCATTTTACAGATGAGGAAACTTAAAACAATTGAGGTTAAGTCACTGGTCCAGGGTTATACAGGTAGTCGGGATTTGAACCCAGGTCTTTCTCACTCCAATTCTAGTGTTCTCTCCATTGTTCCACACTACCAGGAATGTCATAGGGAAGACAGAAGGGTCAGGAGACTTAGACTTCTAGCACATTCAAAGACCTTAGAGGTCACATAGCCTGGTATCTCATCTGATTATTCTCTCCTGGTGTTGGACAGAGGCATTGGACACAACAAACAAGCATGGGGTCCCCTAGAGGTTGGGACGGAAATATCAAGGGGGCAGGGACCCCTTGCTACTCTTCCCTTAGGCCTAGTTGGCTCTGGGGAGAAGGGACAGAGGAGGGCCCATACTTACCTTGAAAGGAAGTGATGATGCTGAAGAGATAAAGCACAACCAACTGGAAGATGCCGGAGGTGAAGGCAAAAAAGACCAGAGCCCAAGGGATGCCCAGAACCAGGCTTAGACCTAGCAGGGTGAGGGCATGCTGCCACTTCTGGCCATGTTGGTTCAACCGCAGGATCTGCACTGTCATGGTGCCCAGCATCACAGTGTTAAACAGAAACACCAGGCAGAAGTAGCCCAGGTTCATGATGTAGCTGACAATAGGGTCCCTGATCCAGCACCTGTAGGAGGTCCAAGGACCAGGAGGGGAAGAGACAAGAAAGGCAAGAAAACTGAGAATAAGAGCCTACCTTGGGGAAAAAAGCTCAGAACCAGGAGTTAAGGGACCTGAAGTCAAGTCCTAGACCTGACACTAACTAGTTACATGAAGGGGAGAGATAGACCTGGAGCTTCTACCACTCTCAACAAAAGGGCAGACACGAGTCAGCAGGATGGTTCTGGCTAATTAAAAGAGTGGAAAGAGGGATGCTGGTAATAGGATGTGGGTGAAAAAATGAAGCCTAACGCAACTAACTGGCAGGTTGGGCAGGGAGACAGAGACATATTTAATTAGCCATGGATGTGAAGATAAGGTAGAAAAGCTTCAAGGAGGGGGATTAGAACTAGATGGACCCCTCAATTCTCTACTTTCTCCACACCATCCATACTGGACACGTACATGGAAGGGTAGATGGTATCTTCAGATGACTTCTGGACTGTGAGGATGATAGAGCCATAATTCTCCCCATCCACCAATGCTGTCACTGTCACCAAAAAGATAGGAAGCCCTGGAGAGAAAACATCCCAGCATTACATCCGACCCAGACAGAGCTAACTTTTTTCTCTCCCACCCCTCCCCCCTTGCCCTACTCAGCTCCTACTACATGGCAACCACTGAGAACAATGTGTGGTGTTGCTGAGGAAGGTAGGGAAGAGGAACCTGCCTGGGAGACCATCAAGCCTTGACCCACTTGCACTTGACCCATTTTGAGCTTCAGGAAAGGATGATTTGGTTTCTTAAAGATGGTGGTAGTAAGATTAAGAGAGAACATGAAATAAAACATCTTTAAGACTGAAATTTTAGCAGGATTCCTTAGAAATATACCCTGCCATTTCCCTGAACTTCATCCATCCTAAGGAAGACAGAAGGCACCAGGTGAGATAGAATAAAAGTGGCTTAGAAAACAGGCCACAAGCCTAGGTCAATGAAGGGAAATGTTGAAGAGCATAGATGGAGGTGGAAGGGACTTAATCCCTTCACTTTTACTGATGAGTAAACTGAGTTCCAGGGAAATTTCATGACTTGTCTGAGGTCATGCAGGTAGCAAGAGGCAGAAGAAGGATTTGAACACAGGTACCATGGGTGTACAGTGGATTGAGCACTGGCCCTGGAGTCAGGAGGACCTGAGTTCAAATCTGGCCTTCGGCACTTACTAGTTGTGTGACCCTGGGCAAGTCACTTCGCCCTGTTTACCTCAGTTTCCTCATCTGTAAACCAAGCTGGAGAAGGAAATGGCAAACCACTCCAATATCTGTGCCAAGAAAACCCCAGATAGGGTCACAAAGAGCCAGACAATGACTGAAATGACCAGCAACAACCATGGAATGTGCCATCCATGTTTGGCTAACTGCAAAAATGGTGCTATTATAGAAAGAGACAGGAGGGTCATGAGGAGGAGCTTTCTAGGGCAGGGGGAGGTTAAAGTGAATTCAGTCCAGATATCTTGAGTTTGAAGGAATGGTGAGATATTCACATGGAAATGTTGAGCAGGCAGTTGGAAGTGTGAGTTGGGAGCTCAGCAGAGTTGGACTGGAGATACAGTATTGGGATTTATTCATACAGAGGGAAGAGGGAAGAAGTTCACTCAGGGAGGGACTGAGGGGAGAAAAGAGGAACAAAGACAATGACTTGGGTGGTACTCATGGTGTGGAGTGGGGAGAAAGAAGACAAAGCAGAAAAAAGGGGGGGTCAGAGTGTATCTCCCCCAGCACCTAGCCCAGTGCTCTTTGTACAGAAGGTACTTAATATTTGTTGAGTGAATGATATAGTTGACATCTATATAACATTATAATTTACCAAGTGCTTTACATGCAATATTTCAAAATGAATGGTTGGATGGATAAAAGAATGAATAGATAGATGAACAGAATAGAACACAATAGTACTGTCATGAGAGTCCAGGAAGGAAGGCATTTCAGGATGGAAGGGGTATACCACAGTACACATTACTTAGCATCAATACATCAAATATAAGCCCTCTCTCCAGGGTCTAAATGACATTTTCCTGCCCCAAGATACACCACTCAACCTTTTCCACCTCCACCTGCCTGCCCAGGATCTGCCATCTAATCTCCTCCATCTCCACCTGCCGGCCCCAGGATCCTCCACCCAATCTCCTCCACTTTTACCTTCATTCAGATTCCTCAGTCTGACCTCTTCCCCCAAACCCAGCCCGCCTCCTCACCCCAGCCCACAAGGCACAGCTTGACCAGGTAGCCATGAACATAAGTGCTGAAGACTTCCACAACCAGCCGGTAGAGATTATAGCCTTCAATGGCCATCCAAGTGAGGCAGGCCAGCAGAGAGAAGTGCAGAAAGATGGCGCTGGTCCGGCAACCCATCTCATTCTCCAGGAGGGCCATGGGTTCACTGAGTAGAAAGCTCAGGTCCAGGAAGAGGATAGAGAGCAAGAGGTTCATGTGGACTTTGATGGTGTAATCTCTCTGCTTTCTCCTGAAAGAAACACCAAACCATAGGATTTAATAGTTTAAAGAGGCCTGAGGGGCTGGCTGCTCTAACCCCCTTACTTTGCAGAGAAAGAAACTGAGGTCCAGAAGGGGAATTCCTTCATCCACTGTCACATAGGTGCCAAGGAGCAGAACTAGGGTTCACACCCAGCTAACTCCAAAACTGGCATCCTTGCCACTGCAGAGTGGGTTGACCCACACACAAATTGGCAATGAGGAGAATGGTGGATTTCAAGTCAAAAGACCTTGGTTTGCATCCCAGCTCTGCTAGGTTCATGCTGGGGGACAGTAGGTAAGGCCTCTCTGGGTTTCAGTTTCTCCCTTTGCAAACTAACAGGATCGGACGAAATAATCTGTGAGGTCTTCTCCAGATCTAAGATCCTGTGATCTGCCTAGGGTCAGCCCTAGGTCCAAGGTTTGGGATATCTGGAAAGCTCCCTGGGGTTTGTGAGCATGCCTTCTCCAGGCAGCATCCTCTAGGCATTTGGGTCTGAGGTAGTGGGGTACAGTGGAAACAGCTCAAGTTGGAGTGCTGAACTTGGGGATACTGGACCTGAGTTCAAATCACACTGCCTGTGTGACCTTGAGTAAGTCACTTAACTAGGCCTTCCTTTCCTCATCTGTAAAAGCATGGGGTTGCAGTGGATTTCTTCTAAGGTCACCTTTATGTCTAGATCTTACCCAACTCTAATTTTGTGACTTCAACTAACTAATTGGTATGTAGGTGAAAGGTAAATTAAGGGAGATGACCACGTGGCTCCTTTAAGTAACTAGCTTTTCCATAAATAGGATTCAGTTTACAAAAACCCAATATGCATCCACTTCCCAGGAACACGGCAGTAGCCATCTCCAGTGCTGGTTGTTCCAGGTTCTGAGATCAAGGTCAATCACAGAATGGTGGAAGGCAGACTTGCTATCTTCGCAAGTATGTGGATTCTTGAACTTTAGAGAGCCACCAACCACAGATGCTACCAGGGATGACCCTCCTTTCCTCTTTGCCCCCATGGTCCCACCCTCTCCTCCAGAGGCCAAGCTGATCCATACCGAGAGAAGAGGTAGATGGCAATGGTCAGGACACAAGCCAAGGCCGAGATGACGCAGCCAACGTAGGAAAGGAGAGTGAGATAGTGCTTGTGGATGACATCAATCTCCACGGAAGATGCCTGTGGCGGGACAGAAGCGTCATGATGAGCCCATCTGGAGCACTGAGAGATGCTTGGGAAGGGGCGGCATGGGGCATGTCGTGTCACTCACCATCAGTACGGCAAAGTAAGTCAGATGGTTGCAGAAGCAGGATGTGTTGATTTCCCCCACCTTTGTCTTGCAGCCAGAATCACTCCAACTCCCTGGGCTTCCAGCTGAAGAGAGATCGTAGGGCCCTAGGCAGATAAGCTCCAACCCCTCATGGGAGACCTTAGGTAGCTCTAAATCTAGGATCCTAATCCCATGTCATCTCCTCTTCCTCATATGTTCCCCCTTGGAACAGATGAACACAGAGAAGACAGACTTGGTGATGAATGATTCAGTGTTAATTCGTTAGCTCTGTGTCTTCACTCCAGTCAAGAAAACCAGTTGGGGAGCAGCAGAAGGGTTCTCCTGTTCTGATTATCTCCGGGGATGTGCCAAAAAGCATCTCAAGCTAATGATGGGCAGTTTGCGGCAGACTAAGTCTGTGCTCCCTCCTACCACCTCCAAAGGTCAGGTTCACATCCTTAAATAAACCAGCTGGCTCTGTTCTCTGAAGCTTATCCCAAACCTTCCAGAAACTCCTAGAAATACCCTACCCACTCAACTTGCAGATTCTTCACACCCTCCTATTCTCTCCCCACTACCACCGTAGACCCAGACTGGGCCCCCCGTAAAGGGAACAATTTCCCTAATTTCATTGATCACTTTTAAGTTTTGACATAAAATTTCTGATTTCTAGCTTCCAGTCTGAGTCTTCTCCATTCCCTTCTTGGGTTCCATCTCTGCTTGGCCTACATTTCTCCAGGTTCAGCACCAGCTATTCTCACTGCCAGTTCAGAATCCTTATTCCACCTGCTTCATGAGGAAGCAGTGTGGCTCAGTGGAAAAAGGCTGGTTTTGGAGCCCCAGGGCTTGGATTCAGATCCTAACTCTGCCCATTAGCTATAGTATAGTTTTTGTCTTGAAGACATGGGAAAGGTGAAACTAGATACCTCCCTGTACTGATGGCACCTTCTCCTGCCTCCATCACAGACTAGCTGTGGAACATTGGGTACATCGCTTAACCTTTCTGGGCCTCAGTTTCCTTATCTGTAAAATTAAGATATTGGTCTAGATGGCCTCTAAGATCTCTTCCAACAACTTCCAGATCTCTGATCCAATGGTTTTTTACCTCTTGGCTGAATCCTATCCATCCCCCTCTTTCAAACTCGCTCAAAAATTTTGAGGTCTCTGATCATCCCAATTGCTTCAGTCTTTAACAAAAAACCTCAATAACCAGGGATTAACCTAATGCTGAGAAGTCCCCTGGCTCAATCTCCCCACACTTACGTTCAGAGTTCTCCTCCCAGAACACACACTGTAGGGTCACATTCTTCTGTAAAAACCAAGAAACATGGATTTGTTACTCCCAGCTCTCCCTGTAGCTCAGGGAATTAGGGGAGGGGAGGCAGGTGTGAATTTCAGAATAATTGAATTCTAAGCCTTCATGTACAGATAGACTTATTTTTCTGCATAGAATTATTGACTGGTTAATTCAATCAAAATGGTCAGCAATTTCATAGGCACAGATGAGCTGGGGGAAGAAAGAAACTGGGGCAGGGGGATGAGAGGTGCAGTGGAAAGCAATGACCGATGGTCCTTCTTGGCTCCATCACTTACTGGTTGGGTGACTCTAAGTAAGTCACTTCCCTTCACTGAGCCTGAATTTTTTCCACTTTGGAATGAGGAGCTTGGATGAGATATCTAAGGTTTTTTTCTAACTCCAAATCCTACTCATCCATCCATCCATCCATCCATCCATCCATCCATCCATCCATCTATCCATCCATCCATCATTCATTCATATTTATGACAAGACATCCTGAATCCCAAGCACTTCCCTGGTCCACTGAGGAGGGAGACCAGATGAACCCCATCCCCTAGGACCACCCTACCCCCTCCAAATGAAGCTTCTTCTACTCACAGGCTGTGGCTGGTGCCAGAAGGTAAGGACCACAGGTTCCTGGAGGTTGGACACCTTGGTATTCTGTACCACAATGCCTAGGACTTTTCCCCCGAGGACTTGGCTGGAGTTTTTATCCTGAAGACATAGGGAAGGTAAAACTTGCTACGTCTCTCTGCTGATGGTGTCTTATTCTGTTTCTGTTAATGACTAGCTGTGTGACCTTGGACAAATCACTTAACTTTTCTGGGCCTCAGTTTCCTCATATGTAAAATGAGGGGGTTGGTCTGGATGGACTCTAATCTTATGCTATCATTCTTGCATCCATCCTCCCACTCATTGCCCTATTGAATGGGCCTGGGAGGTCTTACAGTAAAACTGAGAAAATGGCCAGACTTATTTTGTGAAGCCCTCTGCCAAATTTGCCTCCCCTTTGCCCTGCTCTACCCCTGGAGTGTCTCTTTCCTCCTCAACGTACCCTACTTGCAGAGCCTTCATGTCCTCTATTCTCCCCCCACTCCCACTATCTACACCTGCTCTCCTGTGAATGGGGGAGGGTCTACACCACTATGAGACCCCTCCCAGGGTGAGTTGCATTTGAAGCTCAACCTCTCACTGTGGAATGGAAGACGGCATTCCCATAAAGGAACCGCAGGCAGTGCAGAACAAGCGGTAGTGGTGATGGGTCATGGTGCTCCTTAGGGCCAAAACCTTTTTTGGTGTCCCAAGTCACTGAATGGGTGGCCACCTATTCTGCCTATGGGTAAAACTGGCTCTAATTGAGAGTCAGGGGTGTTATAAGGAAAATGCTATGGACATGTGAGTTATGTTATTATGATTCATCCAATTTCAGCCCCCTGCTTCTCTTGTTCACCTGCCCCAACACACAAATATGAACTGCTTTTCCCTCCCAGGAAAGGAGAAGCAGGACAGCCGTCCAGCCAGGGTACCTGGAATAGGGCCTGGCTGCTAAAATCCATGAGCAGGAGCCTCTTGTCTGCCTCTCCTCTCCTGCCTTTGGCCTTCTCGAAGAGGGCACTAGGCAACTTCACGGAGTACTCTTGCACTGTGCTCTGGTCCATCTGCAAAATCCAAGGGATGGTCATCAGAGGAATTCTGGGCCCACTTGCAGCAGCAGGCATGGGAGATACAAAGGACCAAGGACATGAAGGGTGATGGGACCAAGAAACCAAGGCCTCTGTCTCTCAAAGATAGACACTCCTTCCCCCCAGATTTACAATTTTTAGACGGCTGCTCTAGAAATAGGAAAGTTGAATAACCCTGCCCCACCACGGGTCATATGACTGTGGCTGGCCCACTGTGGAGTCCATCCTGAGCTTAGCACTGGCACCATAACAGCCATCTGGCTTTTGCTGACCCAGGTTCCTTCCCTCACCTGTCTTGGGACCAATTCCTGGTTTTAGACTTTGGCGGTCAGTTTTTCCCTTTTCCTCCCCTCTCCCTTCCCCTCTCCTTTCCACCTCTGACTGTCCAGATACTGACCTTCACTTTGGAATGGATGTGCAGATCCTTAACTCCTGGCCTCAGTTTCCACACAGTAGCATTGATCCTGTCCTCCTCGAAGGAAGCCTTATCTCCTTTGAAGTGTACACCCACCAACTTTGACTCTAAGCTCTGGAGGTGCCTAGAGAGTAAGAAAAGAAAACAGCCCCCCCCAGTCGCTGAAGTCTTGGTGTTGTAGAAAGAGCATGGAATTTTGTGATCAGAGGACCTGGGTTCAAGTCCTGTATCGGACACTAAATAGCTATGAGACCCTGGGAAATTCACCTAACTTCTTTGAGACTCAGTTTCCATATCTATCTCACCAAGATGTTGTGAGGAGAGAGCTTTGTGAACCTTCAAGAACTTATCAATTGTACTCATTTCTATTATAGAGGGAGAGGGTTAAGGGGACAGATCAGGGAGACAGAGAGGAGAGAGAGAGAGAGAGAGAGAGAGAGAGAGAGAGAGAGAGAGAGAGAGAGAGAGAGAGAGAGAGAGAGAGAGAGAGAGAGAGAGAGAGAGAGAGAGAGAGAGAGAGAGAGAGAGAGAGAGAGAGAGAGAGAGAGAGAGAGAGAGAGAGAGAGAGAGAGAGACAGAGAGAGAGAGACAGAGAGAGAGAGCGAGAGAGAGAGACAGAGAGAGACAGAGAGAGAAGCGAGAGAGAGAGAGAGAGCGAGAGAGAGAGAGAGAGAGAGAGACAGAGAGAGAGAGCGAGAGAGAGAGAGAGAGAGAGAGAGAGAGAGACAGAGAGAGAGACACAGAGAGAGAGCGAGAGAGAGAGAGCGAGAGAGAGAGAGAGAGAGAGGAGCGAGAGAGAGAGAGAGAGAGAGAGAGGAGAGAGAGAGCGAGAGAGAGAGAGAGGCACAGGAGAGGAGAAAGGAAGGAAGACAAAACCTAGAGGAAGACAGGAGAGAGAAAGTCACAGGAGAATAGATGTGGGAGGGAAAGCAGGATCAATAAACATTTATTAAGCACCTACTATGTGCTAAGTCTGGGAAAACAAAAAAGGCGAAAGTAGTCCCTGCCCTCAAGGAGCTTACAATCTAATAAGGAAGACAATAAACGAACAATAAGTACAAACAAGTTACACACAGAGAAGTAGAAACAATCAACCAGGGAAAGGCACTGGAGTTAAGAGGGGTTGGGGGAGGCTTCCTGTAGGAGGTGGCATTTTAGTTGGGACTTAAGGAAGCCAGGGAGATCAGGAGGCTGAGCTGAAGAGGAGTAAAAGTGTCCTGGGAGGGGAGGAGAAAATCTGGGTTTCAAATCTACCTCTGTCTCTAACTCTTAGTATGACCTTGGGCAAGTCACTCTTGTGCCTCAGTTTCTTCCTCTAAAAAAAGGTCCTTAACCTGTTTTATTTTTAAATTGATGATGGTGTTTCAGTGTGATTGGCTTCCTTTCTAATCCTGCACATTTTGTGTTATGCCTCTAAAAACATTATTTCAAGAAGGGCTCCAGAGGCGCCACCAGCCTTCCCCAGAAGTCCAGGACACACAAGAAGGGGGGCAGAGCCCCTGTGCTGAAAAAAGAAAGCAGATGTTCTCTAAATTCTGTTCTTTGACCTGCCTCTGGGGAGGAAGCTCAATTTCGCAAAACTTTAGAGGCCTCTTCAGTGGTTGCCTGATACAGCCTTGCAGACCTGAACTTGCTGAGGGACTCAGTCAATGAGGGGCAGCCCTGGGTCCTGCTTCCAGGTCCACAGCTCATTTCACATGACCAGAGACCTCTCTGACAAAGTGGAAAGAGAGTTGGGAGGCTTCAGGAAGTAGTGAGCTCCCCGACCTTAGAGGTATTGAAGCAGAGGCCACATGGTCACTTGCCAGGTGGGATGTCTTTTCACATATGGGTTGGGCCAGGTCTCTGCCAAATCTAAAATTGTGTGATTCTGGGAAATGTGATTCAAAGCTTCCTCATTTTTTCCTTTCATCCCACCCCTTTGGAAGCCTGTAGCTAGAGACCTTCCCAAGGCCAGACTATGGGCCCTGTGGTTCTCCCTATCCAACACCTCTGGCTCAGTGTCCCCGAGCCCTGACACTGTTGGACAGCAGCAGGAAGGCCCTGCAGTACTCACTGGCTGACCGAGGTAGGTGATAGCTTCCTGCCGACCTTTCCAGACTCAAGAGCATGCTTAGTGACTGTAGTTCCCGTTTCAGGTCACACATGTCAACCGACCCATTGTGGGAAGAGGCGTCACCAGGAGGGTCTGGGAAGGGTAAGGGAGGGTCACAGTTAAGATGGGGTCCATCACCCCCACCCACCCCAACAAGGCAGGGCTGCTTCCACCAGCTTGGCCAAGATGGCCGGTTCTCTTGGATGCTAAGGACCTTCAATTAAACTCATATTCTATCACCTTCAAACCAATAGTCTCAAACATCAATCAATATTTATTAAGCATCTACTGTGTGCTAGGCTCTGTGCTAAGCACTGAGGATACAAAGAGAGGCAAAAGACAGTCCCTGCCCTCAAGGACCTCACAATCTAATGGATTAGATTGTTATCTAGTTTCCCTCTGAGCCCAAACAGGGCCAACTCAGGGGCTACCTCCTCCATGAAACCCTCTCTGATCACCTGGTTTAAGTGACTTCTCCCTTCTCAAATTTCTCATAGCACTGATCTGGACTTCTCCTTTGCATTTGCCTTCTTGCCTTCATAAGGTAGTTATTTGTGTAAATGCCTTCCTCATTTGTGCGAATGCTTTCCTCTCCCTTCTCCTCCATTAGATTAGAATTTCCTCGAGGGGAGGGCCTTGTGTCGTCTATCTTTGTACCTCCAAACACAAAGCACAGAGCCTTGTACAAGACCCAGTACTCAGCCTGAGATAGGTTAGACCCCAGGGGAGAGCCCTGGAAGAATTTACCTTCTCTTGCCTCTACCTGGATAATTCTATCCATCTCAGCCGAGACACCGGATTGGGAACAGGAAGAGGAGAAATTCAATGGATGGAGAATGATCAAGAGTGAAAATTCCCCAGCCCCCTCCAGATCTGCGCCCACCTCCCATCATTACCATGAAAGTGGAAGGTGTATCGATGGCTATTGAGAAGGCTGGTGTTCTGTGGTTTTCTCCAGGAGCTGTAGGAAGGGTTGAGCAGGAAGGGCCCCTGCACGGGATCAGCCACCTCGAGACGGCTGAAGCATAGGAATTCACGGGCCTGGTCACTCAGCTCATAAGTCGTCTTCCCATAAATGAGTTGGAGCTTCTCAGCATTTGGAAGCCAGTAGAGGCAGAAATGATATGGCCCCCGGGGCATAGGGAACTTCCAGGACTGACTGGCTTCTTTGGCAGGAAACGGGGCCTTTACTGTTAGGGCATTTTCTGTGTTCTCGATGACAATGTGGTGAGAATGGCCTCGAGTGTAGTTCAGGATGCTTGAATGGGTTTGATTCCTTTCCCCACAGAACTTGAACTCGTCTTTGTGGTTACTGCCCTGTGTCCCTATGGCACAGAAGAAGAAGCAGATATATCATGAAGCTCAGCACGGTTGTGGCTGGGGGAAAAGCTCAGCATAGCTAGGGTTCCCCTCTTTCCACCCAGGAAGGCAGTGTGAGATCCAGGCCGTACATCTTGAGTGAATGAATGAATGAATGAAATGAGAGGATTTAACTCTATGACTTCTGAAGTTCCTTCCAGCTTCAGATCCTATGGATCTCCCTTTCCCTTGGGCCTCGCCATCCTGACTTCCTAAGCCTTCCCCTCCCAAGCCCCACTATTCCATGATCTCTCTTGAGTGGATATGATGGTCAACCTCATAGACTGTTTAGCACTCTAAGGGACCTTAGAGCACCAGGCTTATCATCTTCCTGTAATATCCTTACTTAAAGATTTTACCAAACTGTGTAAGACCCTTCATAAATTACTTTTTGGGACTCAGTTTCTTAATCTGTAAAATGGAGAAGGAAGAAGAAGAAAGAGCATTGGACAAGGTGAATCTAGCAAGTATTTATTAAGTATCTACTATGGAGGGACCATGGTATTGTGGCTAGATCGACAGCTTTGAAGTCAAGACTGCTTATCCTCAAATCCCATCTCTGACACTTGCTATCATTGTGACTTTGGGCAAACACTTCACCTCTCTGGGCCTCAGTTTCCTCCTTTGTAAAATGAGGGGGTTGGGCTTGATGGCCCTGAAGTCTTTTCTAGTTTTAGGACCTTATTTCCAGGAGTCCCTTAGGGCTTCAAAAAGTCTATGAGGTTGACTGTCATACCAGGAGGGTGAGGCCCAAGGGAAAGGGAGGCCCGTAAGATTTGGAACTGGAAGGAACCTTCAGAGATCATGGAGTCAAATCCTCTCATTTCATTTTATTCATCCATTTGTTCATTCATTCATTTACTAAAACATTTTTTTCAAATATTCGTTTAAAAAATTTTGAGTTCCAAATTCTCTGCCTCCCTCTGTCACCTCCCTCACCCATTGAGAAAGTAAGAAAACCAGACGGGCTATAGAGACTGTCTCTTCCAACACCCTCATTTTATAGCTAGGGAAATTGAGGTCCGGAGAGAAAAGCTAATTCTCCTAAGGTTGCACTGGGAACCAGAGGGAAAGCCAGCACTTCTGACTAACTCTAATCTGGAACGCTGCCTCCTGTGCCATATTTTTTTGTACTGAGTAGAGTTGCCAATACGAATGGAAAGACATAGATTATGGACAATGCACTTGGGGAGGGTCCATCTGGGGAAGGGGTACTCAGGGAAGAGGAAGGACACAATACCTTGAAGGAGGAAGAACAGACTTATATGGAAAGCCACTGCCCTAGGAAATGTCTGGGTCTCTATTTTCTTCCTCATTATCACAGGGAGGTCACCACCTGAAAAAAAGCCAAGATCGGCATTAACCTTCATCCTGGTATTTTTTTTTCTTTTCTGGGCCATGGAGTCAGGAAGACCTTTGTTCTAATCCCACCTCATAGACTTCCTAGTGGGTGATGCTGGGCAAGTCACTTAACCTCTAGTGGCCTCAGTGCCCTCATCTGTAAAATGGGGATAACCATAGAACCTATCTCACAGGGTTGTTGTGAGGACCAAAAGAGAGGTAATATATGTAAATCAGGGAATGGCTGATGTTGCTGTTTGTCCTTCGTACTCGAAGAGGACTATGACATCTGGGAGGTGATGTCATGACTTACAAGTCAATTGGGTTTAAGTGAGGCAGGATTATGCAAAGTCACCAGCCTCACTATCTCCTCCAGAGTCATCTGGGTCCAGTGGCAAGACACAGACCAGGACTGCTGGAGATGGCCCCAGAAGATGGATGGATGGCCAATGTAGTGTGGCTATGCTCTGAATATAAGTATGCTGTAGAGGTTTGTTTTAAAACATAAAGTCTGAGGATCTTCTCTGAGCTGTCAAAAGGAGACATACAATCCAGGAGCAGTAGTAGGCCTTAAAGATCACCAAGTCCAATCTCCCCCATTTCACAGATGAGGCAACTGAGGCACGGAGAGGGACATGTGACTTGCTCAGAAAGTCAGTGGTAGAACCAGGGCTTCATTGCAGTATGGCACATTTGGAGTCATGGTGGCTCTGCCACTCACTGGCCTCAGATGAGTTATTTCCTCAGATTGGACCTATTCCCTCATCTATAAAATAAGAAGGCTGAGTTGGATGGTACTGTGATGCCCTCTGATCCTAACTGTGAGTCTCCTGAATTCCTTTCCAATGCCCTAGTCCACTATACCTCACTGCCTTCCTAACTATCAGAAGCAGTTTCATATGCTCCCAGACACAGAGGGGTTTAGGGCTGAGGACAACTGCAAAGCCCAGAAACCCCCAGGGCAAGAGGAAAATAAAGGAGAATGAACAGTGAGGTCCCAAGGCTGGAACCCGGATGAGAGCAGATGTCACCTGGACAGCTCTTCCACCTTCTGCCACAGGGGAGAGCCATGGCTCATTAATTTCCCTCTCTTAGGTAGACATGTTACATAACTTGTTTCATACCTGTTACTTGGGCTGTGGTTAGGGTACCACCCTCCTTTAAATGGTCAGATTATCTTAGGCCATTGTTTGTACTGGGGCCCTTAGTAAGGATCCAGGGCTTTAGAGATGGAAGACATCTTAGGAATCCTCTACCCTAGCCCCTTCAATTAGCAAAGAAGGAAACCAATACCCAAAGAGATTAATGGATTTTACTCAAGGCAAGAAATATCATAGCTGGAATCTGAACCCAGACCCATTGAATTCACTGCCACTGCTCTTTCCATTGTATCATAAAGGGTTTTGAAATAGTAATGACAATAATAACATTAATAATAAGTTTGCAACAACCCAGCTCCATCCTTCACATCACCTAGTGGTTCCAAGAAAATCCCAAATGGAAACAGGAAGACTTATCTTCCTGAGTTCAAATCTAGCCTCAGACTCTTACTAGCTGTGTGACTTTAGGTAAGTCATTTAACCCTGTTTGCTTCAGTTTTCTCCCCTGTCAAATGATCTGGAGAAGGAAATGGCACTGCAGTATCTCTGCCAAGAAAACCCCAAATGGGGTACCGGGAGTTGGACACTACTGAAACAATGAAACTGCAACAATCTCACTCTAACCTGCCTCTATCAGAAGTCCTGAGAGTTTTAAGTGTAAGCTCAATACTAGTCAGTGGAGTGCTGTTTTCCTGGGTTGTGTTAATAGAGGTGTGGTTTCTGAGAATAGGAAGGTGACTCGCACTCCACTCTGCTGCTATCAGGCCTCATGTGGACAGTATTGTGCTTCTGGCGTAGAAGTTTAAGAAGGACAGGGATAAACTAGAGAATGTTCAGAGGGATTGGACTAGTCTTGTTTAGTTGCAGAACTAGGAGCAGTGGATGAAAGTGAAAAATTGGAAAATTTGAATTTGATGTCAGGAAAAATATCCTAACAATTTTTGTTGAGTCATTTTTCAGTTGTGCTCAACTCATGACCCCCATTTGGAATTTTCTTGGCAAAGATGCTGAAGTGGAATCGCCATTTCCTTCTCTAGCTCATTTTACAGATGAGGAAACTGAGGCAAACAAGATTAAGTGACTTGCCCAAGGTCACTCAGCTAGGAAGTGCCTGAAGCCAGATTTGAACTCAGGAAGTCATCTTCCATACTTCAGGCTGGTGTTCTAGCCACTTCCCCACCTAGCTGCCCAGAATGGAATGAGCTCCTTTGAAGGATGGTGAGTTCCCCCTCTTTGGAGAGCTTTAAGCCGAGGCTAGACAGTCCTTGTTAGGTATGTCATGGTGGGGATTCCTTTCAGGGAAAACTTGACCTAGATGATGGCTGAGCTCCCTTCCAGCTCTCAAATTCTGTGACTGGTGATTCCAAGTCTTCCTCCCTCTCTGGGCTTCACTTCTGACTCTACAGTGCCCCAGAAACCTCTTCACCCTAGAGGCTCACTCCACCCCTAAACTCCACAGACTCCAAGTACCCTCTAGCCCTGTGGCCTCTCTTTCTGATTGTCTGGTTTCCTGCCCCTACCCAGACCCCAGACCCTCAATTTGCAGGAGGCTCAGATTAGCTATAGCTTCATTTTTCTCCAGGCTGTATTCCCACCTTCAGACTTTCTCTACAATGCCCCCTACCCACCTCATCTCTTCTCTCCCCACTTTTTAGCTCCATTTTCTTCTTCTTCTTCTTCTTTTTTAGGGGAGTGTGGCCTAGACAAGATTCCTTTTTATCTCCCTTTTATGCAATGTCTTCTCTCTTTAGAATATAAGCTCTTTGAGGGCAGGGCCTGTCTTTATTCTTGTATTTATATTCCCAGCATTTAGCACAGTGCCTGATACACAGTAAGCACTGAATAAATGTTTGTTGATTTGCTGACTTCCATGGAGAGAAGGATTTTTCTGGCAATAAATAATAAGTCATGTTGTCTTCCTTCTTGTCTTCTCTTTCAACTTGGACCCTCAGTGGCTGCTTACCTCATCTATTGCCAGTTCTGGCTTTGGAAAGAAGAATTTTAAAATCCCCAAATGTCAGAGCTGGAAATGACCTTAAAACATGGAATGTCAGAGGGGAGGAGTCTTAGAAATGATCAAGTCCCCACAATCAACAAATGAGGAAACTGGGGCTCTGTTCTGACTCTATGATAGGACAGTGGTGAAAATCAAATGAGATAAAGGAAAGGAAGGCATTCTGGGAAGGTTTTAAGGTGCTGAATGGGTGTAGGAGGGAATTGTTACGTGTATCCCCTCTCTGATCCGTTCTCCACACCACTGTCAAAATCTTCCTCCCTAGGCATGCGTCTGATTCTACTGCTCAAAACCCTCCTGGTACCTCTAGGATTAACTATAAACTCTGGCTTCCATGGCCTCCACCAGGTGGCTCCAACATCATTTCATATCTCTCCCTTCAGTCACTCTCTACTCCAGTGAAAATGGAAGTCTAGCTGTTTCCTGAATGGGTTGTAAATGCCATCTCCTACCTTCAGGAATTTGTGCAAGCTATGCCCCACATCCAGGAGGCATGCCCTGCTCAACTTGGGTCAAGTGTCCCTTCCCACCCCAGCTATGTAGAGCTGTCTATGACCTTCCCCAACCTGCCTTTTTAACTTTATTGCTCTACTTCTTCCATGCTGTAGTCTTCATAAACATTATTCCACCTCTCCTGGACATGTCTTTGCCTTGGCTGTCCTGCATGCCTGGAATGCACCAGGAAAAGGGAAAACCACCATCTCACTATTCAAAGGGTGACTTCTTTCCATTTAGACTTGGACTCACAAAGTGACAGAAGGGACTTCAGTACATACCAGGTCAAAGCTAGAAGAGACCTTAAAATACACAATATCACAGCTGGGGAGGGGGGGGACCTAGAACAAAAAATGTCAGAGTTGGAAGGGGTCTTAGATCAGAGAATGTCAGAGCTGGGAAGGACCTTGGAACATACAGGGTCAGAGATGAAGGAACCTTAGTGCATAAAATGTCCAAGATGGAGGAACTTTAGAATGCAGAGCATCAGAGCTGGGAAGGACCTTAGAACATAGAGAATCAGAGATAAAGAGACCTTAGAACAGAGGATGTCAGAGCTGACAGCGACTTATGGATCACCTGAGAAGCAACTTGGTCCAGTGGAAACTGCAGAATTTGGAGCCAGGAAGTCCTGGGTTTGAATCCTACCTCTGATAATTACTAGCTGTGTGAGCCTGGTCACTTAACCTCCATGAATTGCAATTTCTTCATCTGTAAAACAATAATAACATACAGTACCTCCATCCAGGGCTCTTTGTGAGTTTTAAAACACTTACATAAACTATCACCACCTGGTTCAACCTTCCCATCTTACAGATAGCAAAACTGAGGCCCCAGACAAGGAAAAGGTCTTAGCCAGCATCACATTGCCTGTTACCGAGAGCCAGAATCAACACCTAGGGTTTAGTCAGTCTAAGCTCAGTCTACTGCTTTTTCTGCCTCCCCTAATTTAAGAATCAAAAAGGCATTGAAAGATGGAGCCAGAAGAATCCAAACTTTAAAACAGTATGAAATTGGGCACCATCTCCTGCATGGAAAGTATGCAAGCTGGGGTGTTCAAATGAACAGGAACTATGTTTCTTTCCTCCTTTATATCCCAACTCTTCAACTGACCATCCTTCCTATTCTAGATTGGTGGGGTTGGGGGAAGTAAAGCAGAGTTTTCAGAATGGTTTTCTCCAGTTCAGAAATAGTAAATGAAACTAGAGCTGAGCCCAAAGTCCTCTGTCCACTCATGGTTCACTCAGTCATAAAGTGGGCCACTCAGCAATTCTGTTGACTGGCTGAGTAGGTAATTTGGCTCATTAAGTATTTACTGAGCTCTCCTTATGTGTTAGGCTAGGCATGAGTGAGGAGCTAAGGTTCACACAAACAATAATCCAAGGGCAGTAGATAATACACCATCAAGTGCCATACAGAGCCATAGCATCTTAACGGGGAATTTAGAGATCAGATCTAGTCCAATCTCACTCCCCAGGATTGTGCTTAATTCTGGGCATCATGCATAAATGGAAGAGTGTCCGGAGAGGGGTGACCTGAACAATGAAGGACCCTGAGTCCATGACAGAAGACTGGATTGAAGTAAATGGGGATGGTTAGCCTGAACAGAAGACTCAGGGAAGGCTTGCTAAGAAAGGCAAAAGATTGTCCCTGCAGTCCAGGAGCTTAATCTAGTGTGAGAGATAGCATGCAAACAATGGAGACAAACAAGATATGTGGAAGTGATAGGAAGTGATGAACAGAGGGAAGGCACAAGGATGAAGAAGGATTGGGGAAAGCTTCCTGTAGAAGGTGGGATTTTTGCTGGGACTTGAAGCTAGGAGAAGATATGGAAGGAGAGCATTTCAAGCTGGAGGGACAGCCCTGGAAAATGCCTGGATTCGGGAGATGGAGTTTCTTGTGCAAAAAACAGCAAGGATACTGGTGTTGGTGGATCTCAGAGCATTTGAGAGGATGTAAGGTATAAAAAGACTGGAAAAGGGTGGACAGAGGGGGCTTTGAGTATTTGGAGGACGGCCTGGATATGTTCCATTTTGTTCCAAAAGGCAGAACCAGGAGCTGGGGTCGTGTTGGGGGGAGCTGCAAAAAAAAAAATTAATTTGGGTTTGACATCAGGAAAACCTTCCTAGAGATTCAAGCTGTCCCAAAGTGCCAACAGCTGCTTTGAATGGTGGTCATTCCCCTCCTTTGGAGCTCTCTAAGCAGACCACTTATCAGACGTGACAATCAATGAGGATTCCTTTGGTGCATTGGTTACTCCAGATGACCACTGAAGTGAATGAATGAATAAAAACACATTTTTCAAGTTTTTACTATGTGTCAAATATTCTACTAAGCGCGTCTCTCCCTGCTCTCCAATTCTGTCCTGGGAGTTCCCTCTATGATGTTCCTAACATTCTCTAAGTGACAAAAAGGCAGTCAGAGGACTATGTGGAGAGGGCAATGACCTCAGACCATTTTGGTTGGGTGGAATTATGAGCTGATTATATGTGTATAAGGCTTCAGGACTATTTTAGTACCAGCTGCCTGAGGACCTTCTCCATCAGCTGCCTTCCTGGATCAGAGCCCAGCCCAAAGTACAGGTTAGTCACTACAATTGGTCGCACTCTAGATGCTATCTCACTGAAGAAGCCAGGACAGCCAAACTATGGGGGCAGAAAGGTAGCTCCCGTTGCCAAGAGCCTAGAGGGCCAGAGCAGGTCCTCTCTCAGTGGAGAGATGCCTGCAGCCAGCAGACAAGAGCTGGGATACACTGAGGTTTGGGGCTGACCTCCTATAGCTCCAAAGTACCTAGCCACCTCAGCCTTTGTGGCAGTCGCTGGGATTGATTGTTCCTGGGAGGCTTTCTTTGCACTTCTCTGCTCCCCCAGGGTTGGATAGATGCTGAGTATTAAGTAGCAGTTACATTCTTTTTAAGATTTGCAAAATGCTTTACATACCTCATCTTGTATCTTCACAACATTGTGAAGTCAGTGCTTATTCTCATCCCCATTTTAAAGAAGAGAAAACTGAAGTAAAGTGAGGTTAAGCGATTTGCCCAGGGCCACCCAGCTAATAAGTGTGTGAGGCAAGATTCAAACTCAGGTCATTCCTATAGCTGTAAGCCTAACCTTCAATCTGCTGGACCACACAGCTGCCTGTTCCTAATGAAAGCAGCGTGTGATTTCTTGGGAATGACAGCATACTGGGAATCACGAAATGGGAGATCAGGTTCTGGTTTTGTCTCACTTACTCACTCAACGACTCTGGACAAGTGGCTTTTTCTCCTTTGGCCTGTTTTCTCACCTGTAAAATGAAAGTGCTAAACTAGGTAAAAGGCTTGTGTTCTAGACCGCTATGAAAGTCGCCCAAAGCCTTGGATTTAGAGAACGTGGAAGGGTTTGGAGGTGATGACTCCGTCACAAAGTCAGTGGTAGCTGTGGTTTTGACAACACCTTCCTGGTCTGGCAGGAAAACTTGTCTGAGGAATCTGAGATCCTGGCATTCTGCCTTCTGTTGTCTTTTCTCTCTATTCTCTACCTTCAACCATCCTTTCTTTTGCAGAGCCTATTGGGTGGCACAGTGGATTGTTGTTCTTCGTCCTTCATTTTGGAAGAAGAGTAATGACATCAGCGGGGTGAAAGAACACTGAGCTTGGAATCAGGAAGACTCATCTTCCTGAGTTCAAATGTGGCCTCAGACATTGACTAGCTGTGTGCCCTGAGAAAGTTGCTTCATTCTATTTGCTTCAGGTTCCTCATTTATAAAATAAGCTGGAGAAGGAAGTGGCAAACCACTCCAATATCTCTGCCAAGAAAACCCCAGATAAGATTACAAACTGAACAATGTTCAAAAACAGAAGCACTTTGCCTTATTTTGTGTCTTGGACTTTTTTGATAGCCTGGTGAAGCTTATGGATCCCTTCTCAGGATAACATTTACTGCCTACATTCATAATTGAAGGAAATGGTAAATTTCAGTTAGAAGTCAATGACAATAAAGATGCAGTCTTTTTCCCATCCAGTTTTATGGACTTGATGAGATCTAACCTCAAGTAGTCTGTGGATCCCAGATCTAAGAGAAGGAAAGAACCCACTAGAGGGGTCATGTTCCTTTTGGGTATAAAAGCAGTTTTGTGATTATGAAGGCACAGACCTGGCTTCAGATCGAGATTGAGTCCCTTGGTAGTCTGGGTAGTACTGACAGAATTGAAGAGATGGAAGTGACCTCAGAAGCCATCCAGTTCAAAACTTTCCTAGATAAGAGTCCCCTCTACATCATACTTGACAAGTAGTAAACCAGCCTTTACCTGAAAAAGTAAGGAAGGACTTACTTCTCTGTGAGACTACTCCATTCCACTTCTGGATAGTTCTAAGTATCAGGACATTTTTCCTTACATCAAGCCTATAGACTGTAAAATAGCCACTGTACCCTAAGAAATGATGGAAGGGAGAGTTTCAGAAAAATCTGAAAAGACATGAATTGATGGAGAGGGAAGTGAGTAGAATCAGGAGAACTATTTATACAATGACAACAACAGTATAAAGACAATTTCGAAAGTCTTATGACTTCTGATCAGTGCAATGACCAACTGTGATTCCAGAGGAATCAATGATCAAGCTTGCTGCCCACCTCCTGATGGAGAGGCAATAGACTCCAGATGAAGAATAAGACACATATGTTTACAGGGCTAATGTGGAATTTGTTTTGCTTAACTATGTATATTTGGTCCCAAAATTTTGTTTTCTTTTGTCCCCCCTCCTTTTTTGTAGGGGAGGAGGTGGAAGGAAGAGAAGATAAATGCTTATCAATTGGGGAGAAAAAAACTAATAGATAAAGGATAGAATTCATCTGGCCCTGAGCTCACCAAGGGCAGGTAGATGCTAACTATGTTTCTATGTGATCTTGGGTTTCAGTTTCCCATTATTCATTTTTGTGCCATCCTTTTAAGTCCAAAGATTATTCTCCTTGTCAGAGAAAAAAGAGACAAAGGAAGAGTTGAGTAGTTCTGCTTTCTTCCTGTTATGTGTTATCATCATCCCATCCACCCATAGAAGCTTCTTTGATCTGCATGGCATGCCCTCATCAGAGAAGGTGCTGTGCTCTAGGAGCAAAGCAGAATTGAAGTAGCTCAAAAGAAACTAGAGATACGCAAATTTAAAGAATCCACTCCAAATATTCACATAGACCATATTTATGCCCGACCTGTAGAAGAACATTCCCACGGTTCAACACACTGTAACTTGATTCTAGCATAGTGATGCCATTTTGGTCCTCTTCGAGAGTGAAGGACAACAACCATCCTCCAATTAAGCTAAAAATAACCCACTTTTTATGTCCTTAGCTTTCTTTGTTATTTTTAGCTTATTCTGAGCTCTGACATTACTCTTAGAGGACCATATCATGTTATTTATTCTTTATTTTCTGTCTTTGCTTAAATCTTCTGTATGAGCTTCTTAAAAAAATCTAAGTCAGGAAATGGATTCCCTGTGTACTCACATTAGGTTTTTTAGCCTTGAGTTTGTTAACTTTTTATTTTAATAATTCTTAAATTTAATTGGTTTCCTTTATAATCTTATATATTTGCATTTTAAAACTTATTCTGAGAAGGCATCACCAGATTGAACCTCCAAAGGGGTCTATGACATAGGAAACATGAAGGACCTTTGGTTTAGACAATTTCTTGTTTTCCTTTTCATTGGAA